ATGTCCCCCACAGTTGGAAACCGTACGTCCACAATGGTTTCAGAATAGTTTTATATAATAGCAATTTAGCTGAAAACAGAGCACCATCTGGCCAAATAAATCTTTTTTCTTTTTCTTCTTCTTTTTCCCTAAATTTAATAGGGTTAAACGTGAATCCGTTCTAGATACGTCGTTAAATCCACTCTTATGTTCCCAACCGGAGACTTTGGTTGGGGCACCTAATTTAATTAATTTAATTGCATCAGGGAGGGTAAAACTGCTTTTTTTTTTTTTTTTAATGTTAATAGTTAGTAAGAAATAAAAACATTTTCCAAATTTGATCAAAATATGTTCATAAACAAGCAAACTACAACAGTTTACTTATTCTCCATAAGAATAACATGGAAATTTTAAATTTACAATTTTTTGGAATTTTCTCCGTAACCATTAGGCACATAATTAGTCCAGGACCTGACTAGGGTTCTGTGTGCATGTCGTGTATAGAGAATTTTGCTTTTGCATTTCAATATAGGTGTCTTAGGAAGTGTTTTCCACTCGGGTGTCAAGTTCGCACCTGGTACGTTTTCGAGCTATGACTTCATCAAAATGGCGGCCATTGATTTTTTTAAATCGTATATTTCGTAAACTATTTGTCGGATCGGAATGAACTTTTTTTAGTTTGAAAGATAATTTTAAATGCTACCTGTTTTACATTTACACATTTGTTGTATGTTTAGTACATTCTTTGTAATTTTGCAAAAACCTGTATTTTTAAATATTTTTGAGTTATTTTTGTTTGTAACGTTTTATTGATACAATTTATCAAAAACCACCAATGAAAAAAGTTGTAGAACATTTAAAAAGCTTTACAAAAATACCAAATTCGATATGTTTTACTCAAAAGATTACGCCAAGAAACTAGATAAATCTCATAAAAACACCTATTTTGGCGCAAAAACGCCTATTAGTCCGGCATCTAGGGCAGTTCGCAAGTCTTATAAAGACAGTTTCGCCATTCAATGTTGATGTATGTGTCTATATAAGTGTTTTCAACTCGGGTGTCACGTCTGCACCCATTGCAGTTTCCGGTTATGACGTCATTAAAATGGCGGAAAGGGCTATATTAAAAATAACGATATTTTACATACCATGTATCGGATCGGAATGAACTTTTTTTGTTTGAAAGATAAGTTTACACGCTATCTTTCTTACATTTACACTTTTGTTTTATGTTTAGTACATATTTCGTAATTTTGCAAAAACCTATATTTTTAAACATTTTTGTGTTATTTTTGTCGATAACGTTTTATTGATACAATATATCAGAAATAACTTAAAGACAAAGTTGTAGCACGTCAAAAGAGCTTTACAAAAGTACCAAATTCGATATGCTTTATTCAAAAGATCACGTCAAGAAACTAGAAAATCGTACAAAACAACCTAATTTTGCGCAAAAACGCATATAAATCCGACATCGATGGCTGTGTACGAGTCATATATAGACAGTTTTACCATTCAATGTTGATGTATGTGTCTAAAGAAGTGTTTTTAACTCGGGTGTCACGTCTGGACCCACTGCAGTTTCCGGTTATGATGTCTTTAAAATTGCTACATGTTACGATTTCACCAGCTATTTCACTTAAAATAAGACCATTACCCTCTTTTAAGCAAATAAAAGCACAACAAATCAATGTAATTAGTCCATAGGAATGTTTCCACTATATAAAAATACCCCCGGTGCAGCAATCCTGTCGACTAAGCGAATTCCCATTTGCCTGGATTGATTTTCAATTAATCTATTAAATTAACATTGTATTAAATCAAACAATGTTAATTTAATAGATTAATTGAAAATCAATCCAGGCAAATGGAAATTTGCTTAGTCGACAGGATTGCTGCACCGGGGGTATTTATATAGTGGAAACATTCCTATGGACTAATTACATTGATTTGTTGTGCTTTTATTTGCTTAAAAGAGGGTAATGGTCTTATTTTAAGTAAAATAGCTGGTGAAATCGTAACATGTAGCAATTTTAAAGACATCATAACCGGAAACTGCAGTGGGTCCAGACGTGACACCCGAGTTAAAAACACTTCTTTAGACACATACATCAACATTGAATGGTAAAACTGTCTATATATGACTCGTACACAGCCATCGATGTCGGATTTATATGCGTTTTTGCGCAAATTAGGTTGTTTTGTACGATTTTCTAGTTTCTTGACGTGATCTTTTGAGTAAAGCATATCGAATTTGGTACTTTTGTAAAGCTCTTTTGACGTGCTACAACTTTGTCTTTAAGTTATTTCTGATATATTGTATCAATAAAACGTTATCGACAAAAATAACACAAAAATGTTTAAAAATATAGGTTTTTGCAAAATTACGAAATATGTACTAAACATAAAACAAAAGTGTAAATGTAAGAAAGATAGCGTGTAAACTTATCTTTCAAACAAAAAAAGTTCATTCCGATCCGATACATGGTATGTAAAATATCGTTATTTTTAATATAGCCCTTTCCGCCATTTTAATGACGTCATAACCGGAAACTGCAATGGGTGCAGACGTGACACCCGAGTTGAAAACACTTATATAGACACATACATCAACATTGAATGGCGAAACTGTCTTTATAAGACTTGCGAACTGCCCTAGATGCCGGACTAATAGGCGTTTTTGCGCCAAAATAGGTGTTTTTATGAGATTTATCTAGTTTCTTGGCGTAATCTTTTGAGTAAAACATATCGAATTTGGTATTTTTGTAAAGCTTTTTAAATGTTCTACAACTTTTTTCATTGGTGGTTTTTGATAAATTGTATCAATAAAACGTTACAAACAAAAATAACTCAAAAATATTTAAAAATACAGGTTTTTGCAAAATTACAAAGAATGTACTAAACATACAACAAATGTGTAAATGTAAAACAGGTAGCATTTAAAATTATCTTTCAAACTAAAAAAAGTTCATTCCGATCCGACAAATAGTTTACGAAATATACGATTTAAAAAAATCAATGGCCGCCATTTTGATGACGTCATAGCTCGAAAACGTACCAGGTGCGAACTTGACACCCGAGTGGAAAACACTTCCTAAGACACCTATATTGAAATGCAAAAGCAAAATTCTCTATACACGACATGCACACAGAACCCTAGTCAGGTCCTGGACTAAATAACGCTTCAATATACTAAATTATTTGTTTTTTAAGCTCTACAAAATGGTTTGGAAAGAAATTGCTAAATTTTATGTTTTTTGGGTCAAAAATGGGAAAAACCTATTTTTACCCCATAAAACCCCCCGTAAACCCCCGTTCCCATGGTCCGATCATGCTGGATCGCGAACTCGTTCGAATAAACGTTGGTTTACACGTTTTTACCAAATTTCATCAAAATCGGATCATTTTTGCTCGAGTTATCGTGCTAACGGACATATATATATATATATGAATTTGAACGGATGGTGTTTTTGGCCTCTAGGGACCTCAAAACAAAAAAAAAATCAGTCCCGCGTCCAGGTCTTACCATGAGTACTATGGTAATAGCTTATTCCCTATATGGGAAATTCGCTAAAACATGATAGTGCTGCACCTTGTTGGTAAACCTGTTAACTTTTTATTGTTATTTAATATCATAGAACCAACTGTGTAGTTGAGACAGCTGACAAAACTGTTTAATTCCTTTTAAATATGAATACTCATTAAGGTTAACATGGGTCACTATGGGGTGGAGCCCGAAATGATTTTTTAGATAAGAATATGTCTTTATGTTAATTAATCGGGAATGTGAGCTATCACCATACCAAATTTCAGCCCAATCTAACCAGTAGCTGTTAATTAGTTCGTGATTGAACTTATCAATTTAAATTATTTGAAATGGGCACACCACTATGTGCGTATTTTAACCCAAATATGAGTGAAGGATGAGTGGTCAGATATTGTAGTCTTGTTATAGTGACTAAGGCTTAGATGTTTCTTAGACACAGCTGTTAATTAATAGCCCATACAGCCAAGGGACCTACAATTTATAGTGGAATCCGATCCGCTTTGTCCTTGTAATTAACGAATTGATCTAAATATCAGTATAGTACTGTTAATACTGTTCAATGAAATGGTGACCATACAAAGTAGGTACTACTTAGGATTAGTTGGAGTACTCACTAGTGCGGACGTTAATCTACGCCAGATAGCATCACATCCACAGAGTGCATGTCTATAAATATCCACAATTAGTGACCTCCTAGTAGCTGGATTACTGGACGACGCCGCCGTACAAGTCCAGGACCCAGTCTAATTAACGCCGCCTGATGAAAATTGGTGGTGGTGGGTTGTCGCGATGGAACCAATACAAAGGAATGTGCACGTCAACTGGCCAACTTGGTTTTTTTTGTGGTGGCGGGTTGACGCCTCTGACCATCGAGCGGGTTTTCGTGGTGGCACCTTTGATTCTAACTCAAACATCTTTATTTTTGACAGTTGTTACAAACGGCATCATAGCGTCAAACGGCGACCCGAACTGACGTCGTTTTCGCACTTTAATTATACAATAAGCTTTGATTATAGAACAATCATTGGCGATCGATGTTTGTTGTATTGTCAAAGGCATGACGCTTAGTGAACATGAACCGAAAAAAGTGTATTTATTACATGTGAATTTTCTATCTATATGTACTGATCAAATTAATGTTTCGTAAATGTTGCCGATTATCATTACCGATATCTTCTAAGATTTTGTCTTTGCATCAAGGTAAAGATTTCAGCCAACGCTAAAACGTATAGTCATAATTATGTATTAGCACACATTTTTTCTACATTTTTAGGTAAAAGTGGATTTTTATAACATATCATGCATTGATTAAATTCATAACTCATGCATTTTCAATAACATATTCTGCAGTTTGTTAAAATCTAAGCATCCCTATTATAATCATACATATAACTAACTACTAACAAAGTTTAAAAGGTTATGGATTAATGTTTACAGAAGGCGTTGGACTGAAGCTTGGGTGTTTGTCCTCAGCTTTCAGCAGCAGCCATCATACCAGTAGTTTTTGTTTTCTCAGGTATTTAGATTTCAGACGTGTTTAATGAATAGTCGTGATAAAATAATCAGTGTGCGGCTATAAAATTTGTTGTTTTCATATCTGTGTTTAGGATAATGAGTTGCTCGGACTCGGATTCGCCGAATACAGAAAAAGCCGTGGACGGTTCCGATATGGGAGACGTTATTGGCAAAGAGGCCGATGAAGCCGAGACCGAAGATATGTCATCTAAAATTCCTGAAATTGAAACTAATCGGCAGGATGCTGATGGAGCATCTAGTAACGATGACCAAGGAGTAGCTACAATTGAAAACCAGTTGTTCAATTGTAATGTAAGTAGCCTAATGTATTCTATAAGTTAGATTAAAATTTGATATTGCCGACCCCCAACGCCCAGTGTCTTGGTTTAGCATGTTCTGGGCAGGTGATATAAAACATGAAGCTAGCTTGACATAATCCAACAAGCTCAAGTAAAGCAACACCACTCCCTAATTCTTCGATTACGGTAATGAAGCTTGCTTACAGACTTAGGCTACTTAAAGCCTAGGACCTCTTCACTAGCCTAAGCCTACTTTGAATGTACTAGACCTAGCTTATAGTCCGTGAGGTTGGCGAAGGACTCTGAGGGAATAACGACCCTTCCACCAACGCACGCGCACGGACTCGCCAGCAGGGCCCTACCTACCCCACGGCGCGTGACCCATGTTTGTGTTTGTAGGTGTGTCTCGGTGTGTGTGAGGGCTGTAATCCTTTAGAGTCCTTCGCTTAACTGACGGACTATAGTGTGCTGTTAGGATTTAAAAGTTGATGGAGGTAGGCTACGGTAGGTACAATTGATAATAAAACCAAGGCTATCCTAGGCCTAACCCTTGACCTTTAAATGGGCCTACTTAGCCCCTTTGAGTGCCTTGAGCGGGTGAAACAATTGTAGGCCTATTTGAGGTTTGCCAGGCCTATTACATGTAGTGTTACTTCTAGGAATGCCGACCATTTTTCCACATAAATGTAATTAGGTGTTAGGAAAATCGTCTTAAAATACTCAACTTAAGTTACTATTTAGCCTAACTTATTAGGCCTAACATTTTTGGCCTAAAAGTAACTTAACTTAGTTTTGTTTTGTATCAGGGGTTCTCAAACTTCATCTACTCAAGGACCAACGTAATTAATTATGTGTCACGTAATGCGGACCCCCTACAATACCCCCCCCCCCTACTACGTAGGCCTAGGCTTTCAAGCTATTATCCCTTTCGCTGCCAGCATTTTTTATCATTCGTATAGGCTAATCGAGAACCGCCGAGGTCATTAGCCTTTATGAAAATACAATAAGTTATAAGTTAAGAAAAGCTATTTAACTTAAGTTATCGTAAACTTACATAAATCAGGCTTGACCTGTACACTTGTTTGCTATTTTTAGGTTACAGTGACTTTGTGTTTTGAATATCAACAGTAAAAATATTACCCATCTTGAAGAGCGTCTTTCATTTATTATTTCCTTAACCCAGATATTTCCTTAGATGTTAACTTTAATAAAATATCAAATAAAATAAGTGTGTACGTGTCAACCAGGGGTTAAGTAGGCCTAAGTCGGACACGTATTTTATAGGCCTAACTTACTGCTAAAATCCTGCAAACTAGGTAGGCCTAACTTAACCTCTCCTGTCCGGATTTGGACAGTGCTTTGAGTCGTCTGATGTCTTTTAACATAGGCCTATCAATGATGTTTGAAATGTTATTAGCCTAGTAAGGTAAGTTATCAAGGAACTCTAAAATAACGTCACATTTTAAGGGGTTCAATAATTTAAGCATAGATTAAGATAAAATAGGAACCAACAGAATTTAAATAAATAGGCTACAAGTGGAGTTTGTAATAGTCAATGACAACAGATTAGGATATTCAAACAAAACAGTTTAGACAAACAGTTTTAATTATTTATTACGGGTAGGTACCGTATATGGTTTTAAAGTTTAAACAAACATTTGAATAATTGACAATAGGCAGCCTACAAAATGGCGTAGAAGCCTTTGTTACGTTAAGTCTTTAACAAACATTATATCCAGTAAACAAGTTTTTAAAGGAAAAAGAGACAAGCCTGTCATTTTTGTAGTTGAATTTCGGTGGTTCAAGCCTTCTTTCGATCTGGTCATAGTTTCTATGAAACGCCTTTCTTCTGGATCTGACCACTTGAAACTGTTTTTCCCAATATTTCGGGCACACCTTACAAATAATTCCACGGCTTTCCCCTCTACAATGGCCACATAAAACATTACAAATTTTTCCCGGAGAACTTAAAACTAACAGCCCCAATCACCAACTTCGGGGTCTTTGAACACTAAATGTTCGTCATCTTCTGGTGGATCTTCATTTAACTCGTCAGAAAATTCCTTCAGCGAAAGTAGGTCATCATTAGGGTTGGAGCTCAAGTCCGATTTGTCTTCGATCTGTTTCCTCTTCCTCAGATCAGATGGTCATTCGCCTATTGGGTCTGATGATGATTGGAGTGTCCAATCGAAATCGATCACCACTTACCATCTTTGTTGTACCTACCTTTGTTGTACCGTCTTGTGAGTAGCAGTATAAGCGTAAATTATGTTTTAAGTGTTATAAGACGTTTCTTTTATTCACTTTCCGTAAATTTAATAACACGTACTACAATGCTCAAGAAAATATTTACCTTTATGTTTGCCAGTAACATGGTCACTTAGGCCTATCGTTGATTTTGGCAAACCATAGGCCTACTTCTCAGCCGCAGCTCTTATGCTGAGTCTTTTTTCCTTCACCGCTTCTTCGATTAATTTTAATCGTGGAGCACTCATGACGATTCAAGACATAAAAACTATTAAACATTCATAAACTACCATAGGTACAATATGAAGTAGAGATGTGAGACGTAACATAATTTAAAAAGTAGGCTACATGACATAGTAAAAAAAAGCTCGTAATTTTGGGCGAGAATCCAATGTTCGAGCAGTCACCGGGCGACAAGCGCTGCCACGGAGTGGAATGCTGGATGTGTCTGACTTTAAACCGGTGAATGTAAAAAGCACATACTCCGTGGGCCTACAATATTAAATGGCATCAAATAATGCGCTATTAAATTCTGAATATTTCCATAGGGTACCCAACCCGACACGACAATAATTATGAAAATTATATAAGTTAGAAATGTATATTTCATTTTGAAAAAAAATTAATATTGGTAGACCTGTTAGTTGACATAAAAAAAGGTTAAATACATGATTCTAACTGGTGCAGTTGATTCGACTATGTTCTTTTCTGTCTAGTGACGTAGAATCAGGCCGTTATTGATGCAGGTTAGCTTACAAATAGGCTAATTTAGTTTGTAGAAAAGCGCTGTCTGTTCGGGTCTAGCCTGATTTACGGTATAAAGGTTTGAATGAAATTTTTGTATGTCATTGAATAGGCCTAATGTAGCTTAAGTTAAAAAAATAAAAACTTTGAGTACAACCAAGATAGCCTACTAGATGTTCAAAAGAGAAGAAAGTTCTTTTGCTCATTGACAATCATGAGACTCATATTTCGCTTCCTGCAATTGACTTTGCCAGAGAAAATGGGATTATCATTTTAACTTTCCCTCCTCATTGCTCTCATAGATTACAACCTTTGGATGTTGCCGTATATTCCTCTTTTAAAGGATGCTACAACACTTGCGTAACCAACAGACTGATGATAGAGAAACCAGGCACACCACTAACCATTTATGACATTGCTAGTCTTGTTGGGAAAGCATTCCCTCAGTCTTTTACACCTAGAAATATAATGAGTGGTTTTGAAGCTTCGGGGATTTGGCCTTTTAATGATAATAAATTCACTGATGTTGACTTTTTGTGTTCAGCTATAACCGACCGTCCAAACCCAGAAATCGAAACAGTACCTGACGCAGCTGAAATCGCACAACCTGCAACACTACAAGTACCCCATGAACAGCGATCCACAACGCATACAGGACCTGATGTTGTGCCGAGGCCTTCAACTTCTGCATCGACAAGTTTTTGTGTTAGTCCAGAAACTTTATTGCCTTATCCAAAGGCTGGGCCAAGGAAAGACAATAAGAAAGGCAGAAAGAAGGGGAAAACAATGATAGCAACAGACACGCCAAACAAACTTGAAATTGAAATAAAACATAGAGAACGTGAGGAGAAAAAAAGGAAGAAGGAAGAAAGAGCAAGGAAGGCGTTATTCAAACAAAAGTTTAAGCTTAACAAGCCTATTAAAAAAAGCAAGAAACCTGAAAGTGAAAGTGACACAAGTCAAGACCTACTGTCTGAGTTAGAGGCTGAAATGGACAAAAGTGAGGCTGAAATGGACAAAAGTGAATCGGATATGGAAGTAGATACGCCTAAACATGTTAGTCTTGATTGTGGGCTACCAGAAGTAAATGATTGGGTTGTTGTGAAGTTTATTGGTCAACGAAGCATTAAATATTATGTTGGGTTTGTGCTTGAGATATCTTCGGAGGAGGCAACAGTGAAGTGTGCAAGAAGGATCGTCGTTTCCAAGGAGGGGAGTCGTTTCAAGTGGCCTGAAATAGAGGACATTTCCACAGTTGAACCTGAGCAGATCGTATCACGTCTTCAACCACCAAAATTCATTTACCAAAATGATCATGTCACTAGTTTTTTATTTAAAAATGAATTTAACTTTATCATTGAATAGGAGTAGGGCCTATTAAACTCAGTTGGGCTAATATTGAAATTTTGTTTTTATAGCCTAGGGGGAACCAGGGATACTTGACCCATAAGGATACTTGACCCAAGGGTATTTTCCCAGCAGTGGGAAATTTTGGAGAGTTGGCAATGGCATCACTGCTTGGCCTTAGGTTGTATGACAAATTGGAGGGAACAGCCATTCTGATCTGTGGAGTTGCTTGTGCAGTATAAAATTAAATGTGTTTCACTGGCCGAAATGTAAATTTTTGAGTTTATACAACTATTTGTATTAACAGAAAACAGTTCAAGGTAAGTTATTTTCTGTGATTTATATTGAATAAGCATTTGTTTAGCTACAAAATGATGATATATAACAGTTTCTAAATCAGTCCAAGTTGGGTGAAATTTGAGGTTAAATGAGGATGGAACAGTTAGGGATACTTGACCCAGGCAAGTTAGGGATACTTGACCCAACCTGTACATATTTTATTGCCTGGGTTCTAAGTAAATTTATTTTTTCAGATGCCTCAAAAGTACAAGAGAAAGGAAGGAGCTAAAGCTAGAGACCCAATCCCTACTGACATAATGAAACAAGCCGTAGATAGAGTTTTAGATGGATCTGCTCTGCACACTGTAGCTAAAGAGTTTGGCCTATCTCGAAACACACTGCGTAGATATGTGCGAAAAATTCAAAGGAATGAAACTACAGATTTTCAGCCCTCATATAGGCCTAATCAGGTTTTTTCAGCAGAGGAGGAAAATGAATTAGCCAAGTATTTGGAGACAATGGCTCGGATGAACCATGGGTTGACCACTAAAATGATTTCCAAACTTGCTTATGACTTGGCTGTTAAAAATACAAAAAATATCCTGAAAGTTGGGACCAAGAAAAACGAGCAGGCTATTATTGGAGGCAGGGGTTCATGGAAAGGCACCCTGAGTTGTCATTAAAAAAGCCTGAAGCTACAAGCTTAAGCCGGTCAACGAGCTTTAATAAGCACAATGTCTCCACTTTCTACCAGAACCTGAGGGAAGTTTTGAATAGGGAAAAATTTGGCCCAGAGTCAATATGGAATGCAGATGAGACTGGGGTTACCACTGTACAAAGGTGCCCTAAAATCATTGCCCCCAAAAAATTGAGGCAAGTAGGCTTAGTGACGTCTGCAGAAAGAGGACAAACAGTGACGGTTTTAAATGCTATCAATGCCTTAGGTAACAGCATTCCACCATTTTTTATCTTTCCTAGACAAAAAATGAATCCTGCATTTTTATTTGGTGCTCCTCCTGGCTCAGATGGTGCAGCCTATATTTCCGGATGGATGACAGAGGAAAATTTTGCACTTTATCTAAAACATTTTGTTAAATATAGGCTACCTACTTAACTATATGAATAAAAAAATATTTTATCAATATTTGTGTTATTTTTTATTTCTATACCGGTACACATTTGTTAGTAAGCAAAGCATGCAAAATTTGAAAATCCTACCTTGAAAAATAAGCTTCTTTTCAAGGCTTGAAATAAATTGTCTTCAAAGCGTTTTGATGTCTGCGTCACTCAAATTCGCTATAGGGCCTATAACGTCTAAGGCCCATATGCATAAGAAAAGGAAAGAAGCCTACCTACAGTTTTTCTTTATGTCAAAGAACAAAGGGCTGCTTTTTAACTTAGTTTACGCCCTACACTCATTTGAAAAAAAATATCGATAGGCCTACGGTACCTAGCCTATAGATTATTCGATATATCAATTTTTTTATTTGTTTAGTTAGTTTGCAGGGCTGCCACCAGCCATGAAAACCTTGAAAAGCTTGAATTATGCATGATTGTGACCATGAAAAAAGGTATGGATTACACATGAATTTCTCCATTGGACCATGAATTTTTGGAAATCATGAAAAATGATTCAACCAATACCATTAAATTTGCCATATAATAAATAAATCACATTTCAAAACAGTACGATTGTACGAACATAACAAACACGAAGAGAACGATCAGAAAAAATTGCTTAGATCATTTGAGGTCAGATGCTGATGTCAACGGAGTCTTCTCAAGGATTGTAGGCTATGTGGTTTGAAAAATCAATTTAAATTTTAGTACCTCCTACATTATTTAATATCAACCGGAATTATTTGGATTTTTCATGTGGGGGATAAAACAGGATTTGCTTGGTAGGGTATATGGGATTTTTGTTTATTTGTGTGGAAAGATTGAGTTATTTTTACTCTTTTCCAATGTTTAATTTGGAATAGCACGATGTGCTGTGTTTTTATTTTTTTTTTTGTATATTAATTTATAAATTACACAAATACTAGTATTTTATATACAAAAAGTTGTTCGAAAACTAACACACAAAGAACATTGTCTCTTAAATGTACCAAAACTTATATTTGTGTTGAAATCATAGGATTCGCTCCTCAACCATGATTTTGTAAAATTTACCAATGAAAACCATGAATTCTGCATGAATTTTTTCTGCCCACTATGGTGGCAACCCTTGTTAGGTTAACCTAACTAACCAAACTTGATATATCGAATGAAATAATCTATATATATTCATTCGAATGAGTGTAGGACGTAAACTAAAGTGCAGCCGAACAAAGATTAGTTAAACATCAAGTATTTACAACATAAAACTATATAGGCTTCATACACTTAGTCTAAAAAATTAAAATGGTCTTGCGTCTTCTAGCACGTGTTGGCCAAAACACACGGCGTGTAACTAACACCTTCTGGCATTCTAGTACATATTTTTTGGGATTTCTATCCATCTGCTCCAATAGCCTACTGATAGGGCTACATACACAGCAGTTTCTATCTTTTTATCTGGTTAGGTTTCCATTCCAAACTGGTAATTTTGCCGCTGATTGTCTACTCCGCCACCCGCTGTTAGCCTACTTAGGCAAATGGACAAGTCACTCTTTTTACATAGGCAACTGTCAATTATAGATAGGCTAATGTGATCTGAAACCTATTCATCTCATTTCCACTATAAGTTCCAATCATATGAGGGACAAGCTCAAAATCATTCTTGAAAAATGTATAATACAACCTTTTTCTAATACTGAACAGTCCGTCGCTCACCTAGGTAGACCCCTAGACTGCACTAGAGCATCTGGTCTGAATGGTCAATACCTCTCATGAAGCAGTTTTACACATCTATTATCTCTGGGTTTTCTTTTACAATTGCCTCATTATCTTGCTACTGATTTTGAAACACACTTAGTTGACAGAAAAAGTACAGTTTGGGTTCTTTTGGGATGCTTTTTCCTTGTATGCAACTATCAATTTGTGGTCTTTACGGTTGTAAACTTTTTAGCCTAAGCATGGACAACTAAGCTAACTAGACTTTAAGCTTACCGCACTGATCATAGTAGTAGACTGAAACCGAGGGTTGAGCAGTGGCCGCTCAGTGGTGGATCTAGAACAGTCACAAGGGGGGCGGGGCGAACCAGAGGGGATGGGGGGTTCGAGCGTACCCCCCTAAAAAATTTGCAAGTCTCCAAAATGACAGTTTTATACCTTTTCTTTGTCTAAAGATAGTGTGACAAATTATTTTACGCAATTTGTATGTACTACTGTATTACATGCAGTAAAAAATATATGTATATGTATGCCCGAGGGGGGGGGCCCCTTCGCCCCCCCCCCCTTCTGGATCCGCCACAACCACCACACACATAATTAGGCTACATATCTCTAACTAGCGAGTTAGTTCACATATAGGCCTATGACACAGAATAAGTGTAAATGTATTATAATAAGTGTTATTTCATGTATTTTTTGTGCTTTCAACCAACCTAATTAGTAGGCTATGGTTCAATGGTCAATGGAACATCCACAAGAATAACACAAAATTTATTAGGCTAATATTCACCTTAAATCTCTTTGATATCGTACATAAGATATTACCATCATTCTTAATTAGTAGCCTATTCATGATTTAATCCCACCTCACAAAGCTACAGATGGATTGAAAATATTAAATACCTGCTATTAGGCAATCCAATGTTGTTTTAAACACAACTAGTTTCCCTACTTGTATGGCACCATCATTATGGCTGTACAAGGACGGTTTTATTTTTTCATAAGAAGAGTGTCATAGGTAGCCTATTGTTTAACAGGAAAATAAACATTTAAACACTGTATGCAGTGCATCCACTCCAGGTTGATTTATAATTACCATTTAAAAAATTGTATATTTTGTAGGCCTATATATAACTTTATTTAAATTAGGTGGCTACTAAAAATTATTATTAGGCCTATTATGTTTTTGGTCCTGTATTAAAACAAAAATACCGATGGTTAAGTATTTACAACAAAAACAACCGCTTAAAAATCATTACAACATTTTAGCGCATGATCCAAAAAAAATATTGTGTTGGCTGGATAAAAGAGCATAAAAACAAAAAATGACAACATACTTACAATAATTATTAGGAACGGAAAAAACACTTTAAAATACTTACACATCACAACAAAACGAAAACCGGTAATGACTCACGACGCCGCATGCAGCGCAGGAATACAACAAGAAACGTTATAGGCTACAATCAAGACAAATTTTCTGAACATATATTTTTTTCCAGGAAAGTGATGGAGAGGAAGTCATTGCTAAAGAAGACGAAGCTCCCTGTTCATGCGATGCTTGCAAAGACCGGAGGTAGTGTATTGGAATGTTTTGTGCTTATCAGCATAATAGATCAAGTCCTATGCTATTCTTAATGAGAATACGTGACCTCTTGTAGTTTGTTTGTTTATAGAAATATTTTAATTAAATTTGACAAATTTATCTATTTTGTCCTACGCTTTTAATATTACACCAAAAACAAACTTTACTACCTACCTTACCTTTCCTGAAGCAGGAAACCTAAGTACTCGGACCAATGCGTTTGAATATGGAATAAATCTGACAATCCTAAGGAAATAAAAGGTGGAAGCCAATCAGGCAAATGGAAATTCATTTTGTCTGCAGGTTTGCTGCAGCGAGGTTATTTTATTTGATGTTTTGTGTTTTGCTTTCTTGTTGTTAGTTTCATAAGGATTTAAGAATGTGTAATCTATCCTGACGAGAAGTTTTTTAGATCCTTGCCTAGCATTGTTTCTACAGATTAACTTTGAGGATTATTATATTTATATATATATATATTTTATATATATATATATTTTTTATATATATATATATTTTTATTGTCTGATTGTATAGTAGGGAAAATGCATCACCCTTTTAAACAGATTTATTTATAAATTAAATTCCTTGTTAATTTTGCATTGTAATGACAATTTACTGCGTACACATTTTGTATTTACAGTTTGTCACAAGGTTGTGTGTTTAACTCTAGTAACTTTGTGTTGTTGACCCAGGGTTGTGGCAGAGAACACAGTAGAGGAGATGCGCAGACTGCAGGCTCACTGGATGGACCTGCGACAGTACATCCGGATGGTTTACCGCATGGCCATGGAAGTCAAGTCACCCACTGAGGGATACCAGGAGTTTATCAAGGAACATGTGCACAAGTAAATATTCCTATCATTCTGAGTAGTTCTGTGGTTATAGAGGTCGCCGGTTCCATCCTGAGATAAGTGTGTAGCTTTTTGATGGATCGTAACTGGACCCAGCTTTTATTGATCAATGGCCCTTGGTCAGAACCATAGACTAAGCAACACAAGTAGACTCCTCATCCTATTATAAATTTCGAAGCTTGTTTTTCGTGTCTAGTTCATGTACCACACTGATCGCTGGGGTAGCAAAATTTTGTTTCTATTATTTTAGGGTTATTTTCATGATTTGTGCTTTACTTTTTGGTTATATAACCAGGAGACAAGTTATTGATTATGATTATATCGTTTTCTTTGGTTAAATAAGGTTTTAAATTACTGAAATAACAAGAAACAAATTATAAACAAAACACAACCTCTACAGGTGAACGTACAGAACTAACAATAAAATTAGCTTCATCTGTTCCTTAAGGATGACAAATCTACTGAGGGAGTATGTTTTATCTATGTCAGAACTAATGTTCCTTACTAATGAAACAGCTGGTCTTAGTCAGTAACAAAGCACAAAATGCATCACACTCCATTCAACACCCATCCTTCACTCATATTTGAGTTAAAATACCCTCATGGGTGGCGTCCCCATCTCAAATGATAATGATGATCATAATAATTAATAATTCAATATTTTGAATACTAGGCCTATCCACTTAGACTTTTACTTTTGGGAATAGCGCGAATGTTGTTTGTGTATGTACTAAAATGTTTGGATTGTAATTTGCTACGTAAACTAAATGTAGTAAACAACGAGATTATTAATTGAACATAAAACATAATATTTCCAAGCCTATTCTAATGTATGTTTTTTTTCTACAACCACCAAGATAATTTGTTTAAAAAAATGATTTATTTATGTTTTAGATTGTGCACGTGCGATCCTCATCAACTGTATCAAAGATTAGAATCTCAAGTTCAAGAGTTTGTGATAGAAACTAAAGTGAGACAACTTGAACTTCTGAAAAGAGAGAAAGACTCACCAGTATTAGCTTACTTATTCATCTCAGGTACTGTTTGTAAAATAGGCATGAAGGTAGATATTATGTTTTTATCAGAGATGTGTCGATTCTAGATAACACCGTTACTTGGATATTGGTATCGGTATCAAGAATCAATCGTCAAAAGTCAGTACTAATACCCGACACGTAAGACGACAGTAATATTCACCAGGAATTTTTAGAAAGTCCTAGAAAATGCATTGCTTTTGATTCTACACTTTAAATTTTATAATTTGGTTTGTAATCCTCTCAGCACATTGTTTTTTATTTGCTAAATTTGTAAACATATGCTATTACTTTCTTGTCGAATTTACCCTATTGCAGTTATGACAGCTTACCTACATTTACAATCTAGTTTAACTTAATATTTGAAAGAGATTTCTTGTGTAATCCACCTCATATTAAGTGTATATATTATATTTGTTGTAGGGCTCCTAGATAGTTACAAGAAGCTGATGGCAGCTGCCAATGAGCTGGCACCTCTACTAGAGCAGCTACAGACTGAACATCTCAGCAAGTTTAACCTGACGTGGAAGGTCCTCAACCAACACCTCTACCAGAGTTGTGTCTACACCGACCCCTTCGTGCAGAATAAAGTTCCTGAATGTATAGCCAAGCTCAGTAACAGTTGTCCGGACCCTGGTGATGCCAACAAGAAGCTAGTCCGAGAGTTCCTCAGTTTTGATGATGAGATCACCCTGGTGGGCAGCATGTGGCGTGAGGCAGAGGCCAGGATACACCAGTACAAGTATGTTGCTGCCTACCTGTTTAAATAATATGAGCAAATCTTTGTTAAGCTGCATCAAAATCTAATAGTAGCATTATTATGTTATACTGGTTATTAGAGGTTAAGAGTTTAGTTTATGAATAACACACTCATAGTTGTTTGAAACATGTGCCTGAATTACCACTGTTTTCGAATCAGGCTCTTGTGTTAATGGTTGATTGTCATAAAACAGGTAAAACATACCTGCCACAAATCAAATTAGAGGTATTTTCAAATGATTTTAATATATAAGATTATTTCTCAGCAACCATGACTAGTTGGTACGTCTCACGTTCATTTCATGTTCATAGTTTTTATAGTCTGAGAGTGAAAATCTTATTTATTTTTTGTTCAAAACATCTTTAAATGTTTCAAAATTTGGAATCAAAGTTCACAAGTAATTGGTATTTTGGCTTAAGATAGTGATTTGAATGATTTTAACAGAAACTGAAATACAATGATATGTGCAACAACCTCTTACTCTGATTCAGTTTTGTTTCATTTGTATGTTGTTTTTCAGTCAAGAGCAAGCTACTCTCAAAGCAAAACAAAGAATGATGAAAGAAGACTGGGAATTTTTTAAAGCTCAAAGAAAACTGATACACCAGAAAATATGGAATAAATCTAATACGTAAGTTCCCTGGTCCATAGTATGACCATTACCTCAATTAATAATTAATTATGCATAAACACATAACTTAAAACTAAATATAAACTCTATTATTACGGTTTACTAGTAAATGTGCAAAAAGTTGTTATAATTCAATGGGAAATCAAAGTTATTTATTTCTAGGCAAAATGTCTTTGATAATGTAGTAAATATAACTTCTTGATCAGCATTGTACGTGTTATTACATTTACGGAAAGTAAACAAAAGAAACGTCTTATAACACTTAAAACATATATTTACGCTTATACTGTTACTCACAAGACGGTAAATATACAAAAAAGATGGTAAGTTATGATCGATTTTGCCCATTCACCTATTGGTCTGATGATGATTGGAGTGTCCAATCGAAATCGATCACCACTTACCATCTTTTTTGTATATTTACCGTCTTGTGAGTAACAGTATAAGCGTAAATATATGTTTTAAGACGTTTCTTTTGTTTTCTTTCCATAATGTAGTAGGCCTCTACTTTGTTAAAAACCTGTCTTAAAGAAATTCAAAATATTTTGAGAAATATAGTTAGGCTACATATCCATAACCACCATTTTATCATGACCACATTTGTTCATTAAAATAAAGTGCATCCTTTAAGCCACAAGTCAACCTAGAAACCATGTTTACCTATCACAAATTAGTAGATACTTACTGAAGAGTACACTTAAATCTTTAAGTAAGTTTAAAAGATCAATAGGAAACTGCATATTTTAAATTTCAAGCATGAGTAAAATCAAACTAACCAACACAAGTAGACTTCTCATCCCATTGTAAAATATGATGATTGTTTTCCGTGTCTAGTTCATGTTAGTAACACTGGGCAATAGTGTCGACAGAATTTTTTTTATTATTTTAGGGTTAATTTTATGATTTGTCCTTAACTATTTGGCTATTTAACTATGGGACAAGTTATTGTTTAGTATTAGGTAATTTGATTTGGGTAACTAGGTTTTAAATAACTGAAATGACAAGAAACACATTGTAAACAAAACACGACCCTAGCAGCAACAAAAGGAACTAACAATAAAATTGTCTTCAGCTGGTCTATAAGGATGAGAAATCAACTAAAGGAAGTATGTTTAATCTATGGTAAAATGGAAGATTTTTATTAGTGTAGGTTAAGTTCATATTTGACCAACTATGCTGTTTATAGTGTCCCTCTCGAGAGTGTTGTTTATGAATGATGTGTCAACAGTGGTCAGTTTGATGATGTGGGAGAGGAGGCAGCTTGTCATCGCAGTTGTCCGTGTGACGAGTGTGCCATGAATCACCTCATCAACTGTGGAGCTCTGATGACTCCTCCTCACTCCCCTGCACTACCACCTACCAGGTAATATGGCCACTATAATCAACACAATCAAGTTGTTGCTGTTTTACAGTTTTTAACAAGTTGACCACTATTTTATTTGTAAAAAGTTGTAGAAGTCTGCGGTAGAAAAAATATATAAACGGTACGGTACATTGCCTCTGTTCTCAGTAAAAAAGTGGACGGTACACAACCACTATTACTGGACCTCTTGTATGCCTGAGGATGATTCAACCTGAGAACTATACTAAGTATTTACTTTATGCTGGTATTTAAACTATTAATAGACTTACTATTTTTTTAAATCTAATGGCTTCCCTAAAATAAATGTGATGCACTGTGATTGTTAATGTGTGATGTTGCAGTGAGAATGGCAGTCGTGTGGAGGGTGAGGGCAGAGAGCAGACTGAGCCCAACACAGAGTGTGAGTGTCATGTCTGCACAGCTCCTCCCGTCACCTCCCCTGTGGTAAGTCAAAACAACACTAGTACTAGCCTGGAACCAGCTATATGGCTGTAGGTGTTGGCAATATAAAGTTACAAAACCAAGTGGAAGTGTAGTTGCCCTACACTTTTTGAAATTAAAATCTTCATTGAAAAATAAAATTACAAAATTGTGTGTACTAGAACTGCTGTATAATAACTTTTCCTAAAAACTGTTCATATTGTAATTGTTTGTCTAGGTGGACTTAGAGGCAGCTGGAGGGATGAATCTCTACCAACACGGAGGTGGTTTCCATCTCTACCCTCACATTCATGGCACTGGTGGAGGTCAGTCTTACTTGTTGTCTCCTTTAAATAGTTCCAAATAGTATCGAGGGCTGGGTGAGTTCTTGACTCTTCATCAATACCTGAACAGTGCCTAGACTCAGAGAAAGCAAGTTGAGTTGTGTTGGCACTGTGTGTCAGGATTTTTAGTTTCATCAATATACTTCAGTATTTCGTAAATTCATTACACAATAATCGTATTCCATGACAGAAAATAATCTATGACAAATGAACATTTTATGTTGCAGAAAACAGTGGGTTCCTAAGATTTATGTTACTGAAAAACTTGTTTGATCATTTTACATGAGAATTTTTCCTGAAGAATGACTTTTGTTCAATTACGTGTTTAACAGATTGTCAATTAAGTAATTTAAAACTTTAAACTACTGTACCTATTAATATCTTGATATCCTGACAATTAAGTAATTTAAAACTTTAAACTACTGTACCTATTAATATCTTGATATCTTATTATATTGGCTTAATTCAACATGAAGTACTTTCTTGTTTCACAATTGTTTCTCAGTTTTGTTGTGTGTTGCTCAATTTACTACTTTCCCTATATCAACTCAAAAAGTTGTCCCTTTGCAGTGGTTGGAGTTGATGACAATGTAGCCAATGTTTACCCTCACTTGTACAACATACATTCCTCTCTATTGGCCAACAAGCACACAGAACCCCTGGATCACAAACAGGTGGGTTTTTATTTTAGCAATATTTTTTTATATTTTTCATAAGGTTGTTTGAGGTATAGGAGAGTTTAAAATTAACTTTCCTCGGCAGTTTGGTGAGCCTTCCTTGTCACCTGTAAAAATACACTGCTGCGGATTAACGAGACTTGCTTGCCATGACGTAACCTCTGTAAGTGGTGGCATCTGACAGCGGATCATTGAACTATTTGGACTAGGACTGTATACAGCACTTTGTCCATTAGTTACCATTAGTACCATTGACTATACCGGCAAATATTAACTGTTCCCGATCGTAGTGGTAGACGGATGTAGACAGGCAGAGACAGATGTTTTGTTTTCAAACGGGAAAACGATTTAGTTGTGATTTTGGACCTATAATTCCAGTTAATAGCCCCCTAGACATTTTAAAATTTTGTATGGTGAAATTATTAATGTTATCATGACTAGAACCTACATTTATAGAGAACAGCAAAGCAAGGGATATTTCAGTCCAATTCGGGGAAAAAACTGCAGGGTCCAGTGGGTGTTAAAAAAATTCTCCCTTGAAAGGTTAATCTAGCACTTCAAGCCGTAGTGGTGTTGTACCTCTGATAACATGATTTTTTAAATAATTCTGTCCGAGTGGGGCCATGCCTAAATTGCAAATTTTGCAATAGGGTCAGAAGCAAAAAATAATGCAATACCCTTTTACCCATGTAGGCCTACAGATGAATGAAAATGTTCTATCAGAAATGTGATGTTTGTTGCAGCCGCTGAGCGTTACAGAGACTAAGGCAGGATCAGTGTTGAGGCCGACCACACCTCCTGCACCTCCACTCAAAAGGCCAGACCCTCCCCTTCCTCCTGCACCTCCCACCACAAACAAGGGTGAGTCCTGAACATCCATTACATCACAATCTTAAATGTTGCTTACAAAAGCTAAGAAAAAAAACTTGAAATATTGTTGTCCTAACTGGTGGTTTTCTTTCATCTAACTACTAATGTTCACCGCAAACACAAGAGTTTATGGTTTTTGTTTTATAACCCTTATTCATTTATTTTGTATATTTTAGCGAATTTCCCTATAGGGAAGTAGCTATTACCGTAGGTCTCATGGTAAGACTTAGGCCCGGGACCGATTTACTTTTTCATTTTGATGTCCCCAGAGGCCAAAAACACCATTCGTTCAAATTTTTATATATATATATATATATATATATGTGTCCGTGAACACGATAACTTGAGTAATTTTTATTCGATTTTGATGAAATTTGGTTTGAAGGTGTAAGGCGGGATAAACTTGAATGAGTTCGCGATCCAGCATGATCGGACCATGGGAACAGGGTTTTATGGGGGGTTTTATGGGGTAAAAATTGGTTTTTCTCACTTTTGACCCTCAAAACAAAAAATTTCCCAATTTTTCTCTAACCCTTCTTAAAGAGCTTAAAAAAACAAACAATTCAGTATATCAAAGTGTTTTTGTATGGTTATTGGTTACGGAGAAAACTAAAAAAAATGGTAAATTTAAAATTCCCATGTTATTCTTATGGAGGATATTGTAAAATGTTGTAGTTTGCTTGTTTATGGATATCTGTTGATCAAACTTGGCAAATATATTCATTTTATACTAAGCAATAATTATTTTACTTATAACACACACTTTATTAGTTTCCTTGTAGCAGCAAGCCTAGGTACTCGTTAAACCTAATGTTATTTAAATAGATCAATTGAAAATCAATTCAGCCAAATGGAAATTCGCTTAGACGGCAGGTTTGCTGCGGCGGGGGTATTATTTACTTTGCTTAGAAACTTTTTTAAGTTTGTACAAGCATTTTTAAAAGGTCTGACTAGCTGGCATGCTTGTTCAATAAAAACTTGTCAAAATCAGAGAAATTTTACAAATTTTAAAAGTAAGACATTTTTTGAAGGCGAATGTGATTTTTGGAAAACACCTAGGAGTGTTTTGTAGAAAATTTAATACCTGACCATGGAAATTCTTTAAAATCTTTGCTAGCTCTTCCCTACCGTTTTCGAGCTAAAGCCGATTTAAAAAACCGTGTTTTTCTCATAAAGGGGTGAAGAAAATAAAAATTTTGAACTGCCATAACTTTTGATCGGATTGATTTAGAGACCTCTAGTTTGTGCTATTCTTATTCTTTTTTCGTGTCCTTTCATTTAGTATGTCACAAGGGGTACCTTGCAATTTAAAAAATTTAAAGTTAAGGGTAGGGGAAGAAAGGGGGTGAATGGGAACTTAACGTGGAATTCACAACAATTGTGGCCTCTACGTCAATAGATGATTCCCCCAAACTGCATACTTCTATCTATTGCAGTTTTTATATAAATAGAGAAGCAAGTTAAAAAAAAAACACCCTGTATATTTATTCTATTTGATTTCAAGTGATAATTTTAAGGTTGGTTTCATATGTTTAATGTTTTATCTACAGAGTTCACTTTGACAGTGCAAAGTACAAAGTTTGTCAGTGCATTCTATTTTGTTACATGTATTGAATGTTTGTGTAATAAATTAGGTCTATGTCTATGATGGAACTGATCAAATCGGGTTTAAGAACTAATTATAAGAAAGTATTTCAAAATGTAAAATAAAGAATTGTCTAATATATTATTTAGTGAAACGAATTTGTTATTTAGTTGTGTGTACAGCTAAGGGTCATCGGCACAGCACAACACAGACTCCGGCTCCCAGACTACATCAAACGTTGCCTGACGTAGTGCCTCCGTCTTGCCACAATCACGACAGCTCTCACAACAAGCGACTGCCTTGCCCTGCCGGTCATGGACACGACCATGATGATGAGACAACACCTGAGGACAGTTGTTCAGACAGGTCCTCCTCCACGCAGAGAGGGGACTCCAGGCATTGTGACTGCTGTTACTGTGAGGTCTTCGGCCATGGCGTGGTAAGTCAACAGAATACTAGGGATGGACAGGATAGCTATTTTAGTTCAGGATGAGACGGGGGTTTTATTTCCTTCCTGATTTTCGGGACAAGATTTTTAGCTCTGTCCAATAAAGGGCATTGTTTTAGAAAATCTTGATATTCTAAAAAAAAATAATGGGTAAAAATACAAAAGTAACAAAAACTGTTAAGCAACAAATTTATTTTTTGGTTCAATTACATGGTGTCTACTAAACCTGGTTTGAAAAATTCAAGGAGTTTTCCAGGAGAATTCAAGACAAATTCCTGAATTTTAAGGAGCTACTATCGGAACCCGTTTAACTAATCGCAACCAGCTAATAAATGAAAATGATTATTATTAGGCTATTATTATTATTAATAATGATTATTATTATTTGAAACAAAACATTTCCAAAGAATAATATTTTATACAACATAATAAAACAGTATAACTGGTAGGTAAGGCGACACCAGTTATCATCTCCCGCGATTGTGGGAATATCAGTGAGCATATCTTGCAGTATCTTCAACATCAGCGACAAAACGTCACACCGTCAACGATCACGGCAACACCCGTATTCATATTTTGCGGTTTGGGCGACACCGATAACCGTCTCTCGCGATCGCGGCAATTCCCGTAGGCATATCTTGCGGTTTCGGCAACACCGATAATCGCCTACCGCGATCGCGGCAATAGCCGTGAGGAAATCTCGCGGGTTCGGCGACACCGATAATCGTCTCCCGTGATCGCGGCAACACCCGTGGGCATATCTCGTGGTTTCGGCGACACCGATAATCGTCTCCCGCGATCGCGGCAATACCCGTGAGCATATCTTGCGGTTTTAGCAACACCGATAATCGTTTCCCGCGTTCGCGGCAACACCCGTAGGCATCTCACGTGGTTTCGGCGACACCGATAATCGTCTCTCGCGATCGCGGCAATACCCGTGAGCATATCTTGCGGTTTCGGCAACACCGATAATCGTCTCCCGCGATCGCGGCAATACCCGTGAGCATATCTTGCGGCTTTAGCAACACCGATAATCGTCTCCTGCGATCGCGGCAATACCCGTGCGCATATCGCGGCAACGCCCGTAGGCATCTCACGTGGTTTCGGCGACACCTATAATCGTCTCCCGCGATCGCGGCAATACCCGTGAGCATATCTTGCGGTTTTAGCAACACCGATAATCGTTTCCCGCGATCGCGGCAACACCCGTAGGCATCTCACGTGGTTTCGGCGACACCGATAATCGTCTCCCGCAATCGCGGCAATACCCGTGAGCATATCTTGCGGTTTTAGCAACATCGACAATCGTGTTCCGCGATCGCGGCAACACCCGTAGGCATATCTCGTGGTTTCAGCGACACCGATAATCGTCACTCGCGATCGCGGCAATACCCGTGAGCATATCTTGCGGTTTCGGCAACACCGATAATCGTTTCCCGCGATCGTGGCAACAAAAGCGGTAGTGTTTCGGTTAGGCGACGATTCCGATGACTGGGCTCCGGATTCCCGGAGGTTTGGGTGGATTCCTGGAGTTTTCCAGGACATTTCAAGGTAAGATAAAATTCCCGGAGGTTTCCCGGTTTTCCCGAATTTCCCGGAGAGTAGACACCATGAATTAACTATGAAACATCAATCTAATTATAATAAACTGCTAGTTAACCACAAACAGGTATTTCAGCCGACTATATAGCTATATATTTAAAAACACTCAAGGTTTTAAGGCCTGATATAATTACCTGTAGAAAGCCAGTACAAGCTATAGTACTCAAATTTTGTAATGTGTACCAATCACAATTTCATCATGACTATAATCAATAATCAAGCCATTATAGTCAACATGAACCCCGCTCATGGAGTGATCGTTAACATGTCCCGTGGTCACAGCACAATCATCGTAACTAGGAGAGCGAAACCAATGTAAACATCATCTCCCGGGATCAAGGAGATGTCATCATCGTAGCTAAATAAATCCCTTTTAATTTGTAGTAAATGTTCATGTAGCATAGGTATTTTTGTGTCTCATTGTTGCTGTGTGTATGTTATAGCCATCAGTGGCACCAGTGAGTCGCAACTACACGGAGATGCGTGAAAGGCTCCGGTTGTTGTTGACAAAGAAAAAAGCAAAGTGCAAATCATCAACAGCGGCACCACCCCCCGCTTCTGTTCCTACCAACACTCCTCCTGTCAACAACAGTACTACAGGTGAGTGACAGCTTAAAACAGATTAGTCTCTCATGGTTAACTGTAAGGAATAAGGATAGTATTTTTTTAGAATTGGTGGTGGTTGGATATGGAGTGCAATGTGTATTTTTTGTTTTGTGCTAATAATAATTCTGTTTTTCTGTTCTCAGCTAACGTTCCTCCTGCAGTCAATGGTATTTTGGAGCAACCCAAAGACCCTAGAGATTTGGAAGACTTATTAGATTTTATAGAAGGAAATCCCTCTCAAAAGTGTAAAGACGAAAAGAAGGCTGCTAAAAAAGCTAGACAGAAGCAGAAAAAAGTAAGCATTTAATTTTTTGTAAAGCTATTCAACAAAACAGGTTGTATATGTGGTACTGGTTAATATGGTTGTGTTATTTGCCTTAAAGTTAAAGCTAACTAGGAAAAAAAGTTTAAACAAACTAAAATTTATAATCCCACTAACTAGCTACAAATGGTTCTAGGCCTATTTCTTCTTAAAGTTTATGTAACTCTAAAAATATCAATCACAGCCTTATTTTTGGATGACAAGTTTTTAATTTATATAGGTATTTTATTAATTATTTATAATCTTCAACATTTTGTGGTCTACAGCAAGAAGAAATTGAAAGGAAGAAAAGAGAAGAGGAGGAAGCAGAGAGGCGAAGGATAGAAGAGGAAGAGGCTGCCAGGGCATTGTTGAAGCAGCAGAGGAAGGAAGCCAAGAAAGCTAAGAAGAAGAAGAAAGCCCTAGAGGCTTTGGCTGCCTCAGGAGCACTAAAGCAGGAGGAGCAGCCACAGATGGTGACCATCAAGCGGGTGATGGAGCCCAACTCTGCAGAGCCTACAGTAACCATCACATTAAGAGGCGCAACCCCCAGTGAGGACAAGGTGCTGTACACACTGCTCAACGGACAAGGTAACACTCTTATATAATATTCTGTTAAATAGACTAATTACGAGTGGGCCCATGCGTGATATGCATATTTTAATTGAAGCCAAAACTAATAATGCTAAATACTTTTTTACCTTCAAAACATTATTTTGGTTTAAGGCAGGTATTAGATACCGGGAAATAAAACGACTTATTTACAATAAATAAATTTTGTTTGGCCTTATTGGTTGGATACCTAAGTTACGTTTGCTGGCTCCAGCTCAGGATTTTGCAAATAAATATAAAAGTAAGAGCAAGCTTACCATTGTACAGGATGAGTTTTACTTGATAAAAATACACACACATAGAAAAGTGACAAATTTCTTATTCATGAAATAAGCTTAGTAGTAATGTGTCAAAATGGAATCTCAAATCCTTTTGAGATTCAAAAGTTTCGAACCAATGTTAACACTAATGAAACAAGTAAATTGTATTCTGAACTAAACATATTTTTATTTTTGTTTGCTCTTTTAGTTTGTCAAATCCCCAAGGACAGTAACAATCCTAAAAACAACCAGAAAGGAGGAAAACCAACACAGCAGTCCAATCAACAGAATGGGGTCAAATCGAAAAATGTACAAAACAACTCAAACATTTCAGTGAATCACAATAATTGTGTACAAGGACAGTCGGGGAAGAGTAATGGTAAAGCTAAGAAAGATACAAGCAGTAGCAACAGCCAAAGTAGTAGTAACCAGAAGACAGCAGTAACAAATAATCAGTCCAAGAAAAAGGAAGAGACTGTTAGCAAACAGAAGCCTAAAACTGCTCCTGCACCTCCCCCACCAGTAGCTGCCCCGCCTCCAGCTCCTGCCCCCGCACCCAAGCTGACAAGTTCCACCGCAATACAGATAAACAACGCCATCAATTGTCTGTCTTCACGTCAGCCTCTGCCAAGCTTTAGTCTGGACAGTCTCAAGCTGCCCCCTGGCATCACCATCACCAAGGTGGACCCCTCGCAGGTCACTCAGCAGCGGAAACCTCCGCCACAGGTAACCAACCATACAGTAATACAATGGATATACAACCCCTTGACGTATATTAGATCAAACAAGGTGTGCTTAATGAGTCCCTTGGGAAATGTAATTATTTATCTACAAAAAGATTACTGTACTTTAAATATTTAAATGGACTAAACATTTAACCCAAGTAAAACTCCGGTGTTAACGGGGCTGTAGATGTAAGACACAAGAAAATCCCTCTGCATAATGATAGACCACCCCAAATAACCAGGCTCCTAAGCCTAACTTTAAATGTAGGCTTACCTCAGATAGACAAGATATCAGTAGTCAGTTTTATTTGAGAAAACAGTCTGGCCCTGGTTGGAATATAGCCAACATTATTTAACTACTTTATTACAATCAACTTTTTATTTTGGGTTAATGGTGTAAGGTTTCGCTGTTAATAGTGATAGCTACTATTTATGGGCTTTTATTTATCACTAATTAATTACTGTTCAATGTTCAAAATCAAACTGCTCAACTGTTTATTTTAACTAAAGAAACACAAAAACATTGCTCAGCCGATTTCTTTATGGCTCGAATCAATAATTCCTTGTCTCTATAAACTGTTCATTAATAGTGCTGCTTGTGTTTCAGCCTAGTAAGCCACCAACCCCTCCTGTGATGCCCAACCCTCCACCCCAGATGCCTGCAGCCTCAAATGTCATTGTTGTAGACACTGGCAAACTGAAAGATCTCAATACTGTTCCTAACAAAGGTAATTCATGTTATCACAAAATATAAGTTTGGCTCCTCAATGTGCTGGGGGGGAAATTATTATCAAGTGCTAAGTTTAAGTTTCTTATATATCCAGGCATTTATCACAATTAAACCAATAGCTGGCTTCCCATGGGTGATTCACTAATTAACTGACAAATTTAATTTTAAGGCTACTTTTGTGGGACTGCTAGTTGTTTTTTAAAACAATTTCTTAGCCTTTAACTGATTTTCTAGACACGTGTGAATAAAAATGTTTGCCTAGTTTGTAATCTTTTTCAATTAAAAAAATAGACTAAAATAATACTCCTAATTCTCTATCTTTTTACATTTTCTCTTAAACCAAATGTTATCAGATATTCACTTTTCATCCTTTCCCCTATCTTATGATAGTAATCGTCCATGGAAAAATCATTTTCAGATTTTTCTGATGATGCTAATGGCAAAAAGAAGAAAAACAAAAAGAAAAATGGGAATGGAAATCAAATGAATGGTGATATTCCGACAATGGAAACTCTGAAGAGTAATGGTAACAACATGGTCCGGTTGACAATGAACGGTGGACCACCAAAGAGGGTTATGCCTTCGCCACAGCCAGTGAACGGCAAGGTGATGCTACCTCCACAGGCTGCCATCATCAAGGTGAACGGCTCCATGGTGACCATCCGTAGTCCGGCCCTGCAACAAGCACTCAACGCCTCGTCTGCGGACCAGGCCAAGAAGAAGAAGAAGAAAAAGAAGGGCACAGGACAAGGACAGCACGAAGAGTCTTGGAACGATGGTGAGTTGAATGTGGTATTTTGAGATTCAGTTGAGTAATGATGTCACCGGCCACCATCTGGAGGAGTCAACTAAGTCAATTATTAGACTGATGATGATACTTATATCATTGACTGATTGTGATAAACGTAGAACTTCTCAATTGTTATTTAGTAATGGTTAAGTATTCAACATGTTTACAATTTAGATCTAAGATTTCACCTATATAGTTATGGTTTGACTAGACAAGTATTTTGTTTTTATTAGATATAGAACTTTATAAAGTTAATTGTTTTTACCTACAGTTTTAGTTAAACATGTAACTTGATGTTTTTACCCATCAAGTATTTAACCTTGTTTATTGACAATGTATGGCAAAACTTTTGTCAGTTTATTTCCCATTAAGAATAATAAGTTTGTTATTGTTTTGTTTAAGAATTAAAATTTTCATTTGATAATGTACCTAGTTCTATTGTCCTGACTATACAATAATATATGTTTTTATAAAACAAGTGCTCTTTTGTAAATTGGTCTTAATTTTTGTAAAATGTATTAACAAGATAAGACTCTATAAAAGCTTTTTTGTTTTAAGAATACGGTTAAAAGTTGAGGTCTGTATATGTCCTGTACTAATGTGTAATATATAATGAACAGTGCCTAAGCAATGATGTTTTCTATTTTTGTGCCACGGTTAAATGGGGTATACAGACATTCTAAAATGTATCACATAATTCTAAAATTTTTACACATATTTTTAATTTACAATGCTAATTATTAATATTAAAGATTTGTCATTAAAAACTGCTATTATCACCTTAAGCTGTATTTTGTTTAATCTTAAAGGAAAGCATAGTTTAAACATCAAAAAGACGCTACAACAAGCCAAATTTGAATATATAGGCCTACTTCAAATCTTTTAAGATAAACTATCCAGGTTTTAAACAAATTAAGAATGAAAATTTTACAATTACATTTTGACACTTATAGGCTCTATTTTATTACTGTAATCATTGTATACTATTAAAATAAATCTACTAGTGAAGAAGAAATCCCTGGTGACTTTAATGATCTAGCTCTTAGTCAATGACTGATACAACACGTCTGACTAGACTAAATCAGAATTATTATCACCTAATTTATAGGCATGATAAATCTGAAGATGGGATCTCTGACATAATTGCTCATTTTAAAATATGCAGTTTAATAAAATAGCTGTTATATCCTTTTCATACTACAAATGTTATCTTAAAGAATACCATTGAACATTTTAATTGGTTATATGGCTCAGCCTTTAAATGTTTTGGATGGAGATTTTTATTTGATATTTTTTACAGTAAAAAAATATGAGGAAGTTTTTTATTATGCAAATATTTGTCAAATATATGATGATAACTTGGGTACTAGTTGCTTACCAATTTGCATCTTTGCTTTAATGGTTTCAATATATATAGATGTCCAGATACTGATTTCATTGAAGTAGTCATCATAAAAAATGAAATAAAATGTTGAGGTTAATTTTTTAGTAAAACTGATTTGTCACAGCAGCTCTGCTAAAGACATTTTTTCAGCACAATACACTACTTAGGTCATAAAGCATTCCAGGATAAAAGTTATACTAGCAAAGATTTAAAGTCACATGGGGTTGAATTATCTAGTAAAATCTGTAATGACTACCGTTCATTAAGTTTTGGTAAAGAATGTACTGTTTCTACAAATTTCATTTCAGTTGTAGCCTACTGAAATACATTTAAAAAATCAAATATAACACATCATAATAATAAAAACAAAAAATCATTTGCTCAGTAAATTAATATTGCTTACAAAATTGATGTTATTAATGCCAATATTATAAGTGATTAAATGCATAGAATCAGAGTAGTTATTTTTAACAGTAAATATAAGACTACAGTACTAGGAAATTGTGGTTTTGGTTGAGTGTCCAGTGTCCAGTGGTTTTTGGGGAAGTCGGCAGAAAGAAAACAAGAGGATGGTGATCTCAGTAAAGTTTTATTCACTGTGAAATTAGAAGAAATGCAAGATGATTGATGTGTTAAGAAACATTCAAGATCACAAATTGAAGATGTATGTACAATGTGTCTATGAAACGCACATTTATGTTGAGTCAATAAATTAAACCAGGAAAAGAATGTGTTGCCTTGATCAAGATGCAAATACGTAGATTTTTTTATGCAATGAGTCATGTATCATTAATGTTGTGTCACCAAAATGAGAAGCAGAAGGGTTCAAACTAGCTGTTCCTGATGATCAAGATGAAATAGAAGATGATTCATGTACCATGCACCCCTATACACCAAGTGACATCCAGGAAAACTACTCGATGTTGGTCTTTACCAAGATATTGATACACTAGACTTGTGTGTTACCATTCTCTAAAACATGCTTACTAATCCATGATACTGGCCACTAAATCTGACTTATGAATGCATATTGATGTTTTGTCACCAAGTCAAAGAATTGTTCAGCTTCTTCAGAAAACATTTAATATAGCTACAAAGAAAGACGGCTGCATCAGTATTCTGGATGAGAATTGAAGATGGTTGATGTGCTCCCTGAATTGCATACTTTTGTCAAGTTATGGAGTGAGAAGCAGAAAAGTGAAAACGTTACTATTACCTTCACTAAAATTCATTCAAGATGGAAAAAGAAGAAGATTGATATCCCTTTGATGTTCATCAATGTTGAGCAATCAAGTGAGCCTTAGTAAAGAAGATGACCATTATGTCACCAAGTAAGACGTGGTCATAACAAATGGTTTTACTTTAAACAAGATGCAATGGAAAGTAGTTGATGGACCACCTTGCCATACATCGGTGTTGAGTTAGCTAATGAGAGCAAAATTTTGCTGTACCACCTACCCGTATAATGTACACAAACATTGAAAAACAAAATATGAGAGGATATATTTTTCTCAAGATGCAATGATAGAAGATAATTGATGGACCAGTTGCCCTTCTAACTCACATCAGGTTGATTCATTAAGTAGAAACTGGCAGCAAGAGAATTAGCAACTCTGGATGACGTCCGTACTGTGTTTCTGTGCCTATTTAATATTGTGTTACTAAGTGAAAGGTAAACAAAAACAGAGGACCATTTGAAATAGCTACATTTTTATTACAAGAGCAAACTTGATAAATTTGTGGAAAATTAAATGATTTTATACGCTACAAACTAGAAACAACAGCAAAAGGAGAAGAAATCTTGACTTTCAGCAAGTTGCATTATAAAGTAGAAGATAACTAATTTTTCAAGTGACTATATCACACATTGATGTTGTGATAACAAATTAAAAAGAGGTGAACTGAGAAGAACTTTGAAAAGTCCATATTAAAACTTGTATGACATTACAGTAGTCACAGTTAGTCTGGGAACGCGGACCCTTGTGTACTAGCCGTGCGGAGAGTAACGGCTCGCTCACCCCCACAGCCAGATTTTTTTGGAAATGAGCAACAAACACTCCCCTCTACACCCCCCTGCCATAGCGCAGCCAGACTGTTGGTAGAGAAAATTATAATGTAACCCTAACATTCCACATGATATTACACAGTTAAAGGCTAGCAACATGAAAAGGTTGTATTAGAAAAAAAAACAAGCAGATGATACCTTTGAAGGAGGATAGATGAACTGATACTATCATGGTGCATATTTACATTTACTGATAAGAAATCAAATGACAGCATGGGCATCAAGAGAAGTAAAGTCAGCAGACTGTGGACCTTTAACATTCCTAGAGAGGAAGCAGTAAAAGGAAAGTCTGCAGAACGTGAAACCAATTACATTCCTAGGCAGGAAGCAAGAGAAGGAAAGTCTGCAGACTATTAAGAAGCAATAAAAGGAAAGTCAGCAGACTGTGAACCTTTTACATTCCTAGAGAGGAAGCAAGAGAAGGGAAGTCAGTAGACAGTGAAACCCATTACATCCATAGGGAGGAAGCAGTAAAAGTAAAGTCAGCAGAATGTGTACTCTTTACAACCCTAGGGAGGAAGCAAGAGAAGGAAAATCAGCAGACTGAAACCCATTACACCCCTAGGGAGGAAGCAGTAATAGGAAAGTCAGTAGTCTGTTAAACCCATTACATTCCTGGGGAGGGAGCAAGAGAAGGAAAGTCAGCAGACTGTGAACCTAATGCATTCTTAGGAGGAATTTGAGAGAAACACTCATCTAGATGAAGAATACGAGGTACCTATTATAGTTATTGATATTTTCTTTTGTCAAATCTGGTAAACCTAGGTGAACCTTGATAATCCAATAATTAGTTTATTGTAAAAAAGTTTAAAATCTATTAGTTCTCCTTTCAAATCATAAATTTTCCTCTTCTCCAGGGGAACGGCCCACAAGGAGTAAGAAGAAAATAAAAGCATTCAATTGTTGTTATGGCTAGGAAAATAAAAATACATGATTAAGATTGAGGGTTTGTTAGTCGCATGTGATGCCTTTACTGCTGTTCAGATTATCTAGGTTCGCCTATACAATAATACTAATTTTGTTTAAAGCTGTACACATCTATATGTCTCCATTCATACATTTGAATAATTTTAATTCATGTCTACTGCCAAAAAAAAGAATAAATACCCCCGCCGCTGCAAACCTGCATACAAAGCAAATTTACATTTGTCTGATTCGATGAAAAAAATAATAATATTAAGTTTATAATCAGTACTTAGGTTTGCTTATACTAGGAAGTAAAATAGTGTTTTTTGGTAAATGCTATTAGTAAGCCTGTTGTATGAAATAAATGAATTTGCCCAATTTGATAAAAATATATACATAAACAAGACAACCACAACAGTTTACTTTTTCTCCTTAAAAATAACATGAGAATTTTAAATTTGAATTTTTTTTTCATCATAGGCCTAATCATTGGTTGTACAAACAACAACGCTACAACATACAAAATTATTTGTTTTTTATCCCTACACGATAGCTAGTAACAAAATTTTAATATATTTAGGGTAGAAAATTATAAAAGAAAATAATAAAAAATATAACCCCATAACACTCTGTTTCTATCACCCGCGCGAACTCATTCAAGTTTATCCAGCCCTACACACTCTTCACCAATATCATTAAATTGGACCAAAATGACTTGATTTATCATAATTATAAAAATTTGAATAAATGGTGTTCTTTGCCTCTCGGTACAGTACATCAAAACAAAAAATGTAAAATCTGGTCCAGGTCTTATTGTTTGGTAATAACTTATAGGTAAGTACAATAAATTTTCCTAAAACATAAATCAATATTAAACAATGGAAATGTTTAAAGAAACGTGGAATCTCTGACCTTTATAGTTTATCTTGAAGTAATTATCTTTCATGTATTATATTTCAACACTTGTTTCAGAGGAAAGTGTGTTTGCCCCAAAAGATATAGACCTAGAGAGTGGAGAGATGGACGATGCAGAACGAGAGCTGGAGGCATTCAAGAGGTTCTGTCTGCAGTCGGTGCCTCCCAAGCAGAAAGAGACCCCCACCCACCTCAACATCAAGGACATTGTACTTAAGAAGAAGTCTTCAGCGATCAGCTGTAGTTAAGATCTTGCACTGCCTGTACAGCATCAATATTCACCATGTGACTAGATAGATTGTATGTCAACACTTTTTCTTTATTATTGCCATTATTATAGGTTTAAGATGTAAAATTTTTTAAGAGACCCCTTATTGTTTGGTTTTAGTGCAGGTTGTTTATATGTCTGTACTGCTTCCAGTTAGTCTACTGCCAAACACTGGTGTTGTATTTGTTATACTAAGTTATAATTTAAGTCGCATGTAAGATGAATAAATTTTATTGCATTTTTTATGTATCTGTTGTTTTATTTCCTTGCAAAGCAAATTGGGTATGAATGAAACCAGTGCAGGAAAGATACTGTCAAGTTTTATGGAGTTTAAAGCATGTCCGTAAAAAATAGTTCACTGTTGATTTTTAAGAATAAATACCAATATCCTAGGATGTTGGAAGTATCAGTCACTTCCTCCCGTCCAACACCTTGATCACTATCTGCATCACTGTTAATTTACTACAACCGTCAATGCTATAATCAACAACTGCTCCCTTTTGCCAGTAACCTAACTTCTGAAAAGATTAATTAAGAAACTATCTGTCGGTGATTCTAAATGGACATTTATGCCAAGTTAAGGATTTTTGGAACTTTGCGCCTAAAATGCATTATACATAAAGACTGGAATATTTGCATTACACTTCCCATTTTTAAGAAACGACAGTTTGCCAAATTATAGACCTTAGAAAAATGTTCCAAGTTTGACGTTGACTTGCATACTTTATTTATTAATTTATGGTCAGGCCTTTGATAGCATTAACAGAGAGAGACATGAACTACAGCTACTGAAGATGGGCCAATGAATCGTAAGCCTTACTCGAATCAGCATGGAAAACTAAAAAGTAATGGGTTTCAGTCAAGGGTGTAAAAAACAATGAGTTTGAAATAACAACAGGAATAAGCCAACGAGATGCCCTGCCCACTGTGATGTAAACAAATACCTGGCTTTGCAGTCAGCTATTTATTAAGTAGGAATTGAAAGAAATGTTTTGCAAAGGATGAGACAATTTGTGGCATAAGCGGAAGATATTGTCATCTCAGCTAGAAATATAAATCTACTGAAGGAGACATTTTTAAAACTGAATGAAGATACCTTGTCTAGATGGGACTGTGCAGTGTGCATAAAGGTAAAAAAAAACAAAATATTCAAAGATATCACGGTCAGAAGAGCAGATCCATTGGCAATAAAAAATTTCAAAATGTAACGCAGTTAAGTATCTTGGCTCAATTATAAACAATGAAAACAAACTTAGCAGTAAAATCCAAAACCAGATAATGAGTTGACAGGGTCTATTTTTCTCACCAGAAACTTCTAAACTAGAATGCAGACAAAATTAGCATTAACATTCTATAAAACCATGATTAGACTTGTAATCTATGCAGTTGAAACGTGGACACTCTTTAGCTCCCATGCTAATTCCCTATGAGTTGAAAAGAATATTAAGACGAATCTTTTTTCCAGTAAAAAATAAGGGGAACAATATAGAAATAATAAGAATCTGGATGATCTAATACATGGAGAGCATTTATAGTTAGGGTGATAAAATCAATGAGGTTAATGAGGCTTGGTCACAGAGTGAAAATGGGTGATAAAAGAATGCCTCTAACATTACTAGAGGTCATCCAAGGAGCAGATGGTTGCAGGATGTTGAAGAAGATTTAAAAACTTTGGGAATCAGAGATAGAGAGCAGGAAACAGAGAAGATTAGAGACAAATTGTGATGGAGGCCAAGGCTCATTGTGGGCTGTAGCGCATTGTGGGGTAAGGCCGTTATTAGCTGTGAGCAACTAGTGGCGATACCGGTGGCCGACTTGTAGAAGGGCATGGGCTCAAATGGTGCCTATTAGCAGCTGGTGGATTGGTGGTGCCACTGAAAAAGTAGTCGGTGAAGTTGCCGGGAGTGATTTGCCCAACAACGATGTCTCCACCGTTTGGTGTCCAGGCAGTCAGGGGGCATTGCAGTACATTGTGTCGCCACTGACTGTATGTGCATGCGCTAATAAACTAAAAAACAAAGCCTGTCAAACAGTGTGTAAAATATGCCTTTGCTGAACCTAGCACTAAAATGGGATGTCTTCTAAACTGCCTGACTCTTCGCATCCTTTTTTTCAATAGGAGGTAAAAAAGAAAGAGCTCCCAACTGCTCAACACCATGTTTGACACTAGACTAAACGAGTACACAGTACTAAATTATGCGGTTTGAGCGAGCTATGAGTGGTTGTGCCACTAGTGTCACCGCTGCTGTTGCCACCAGTTGCCCACGGCTAATAGCGGACTAAGGGAAGGTATTTTTAATTAATTTTGATGGGATATGGGCCTACCTATATTGTTATCTCTGACCCAAACGCTTACTTACCTCTTAATCTTGCTCCTCTTCTCCGTAGTCTTGAAGACCAGGGAATCATTTGTGTTACCTTGTTTTGTGTGTGTGTGTAAGGTTGCTGCTTGGGGGTTTACTTTAGTGTATGTTATGGTTGTTGTATGTGTGCTCCTCAAAAAAACTCATTGTATGCTATTTATGGTTTGTTTTAGAGGCTGTTTAGAAATGTGTTTGTTCATTAGATTAGTTTTCAATTACCAAAAATATCTTTCAGTCCCTGGGATCTAATTGTTTCGGTTAAGCTAGCTGAACTCTATTCCATCAAAAAATCCCTTACTTAGCCAATTGACTTTTCTTTAAAATATAATATAACAAACATATAGTGTACAGCTCCTTGAGCCATTACACACAAACCAAAAAAGGTTCAATAGGCACCTATGTACTATACCAAACTTAAAATTAATTTCCACAATTTTTTTCTAATAACACTTGTTGCTATAAGCAAACATCCAACTCACTATTGATTGATTGATTACTGACAGATTTAAGACAGGAGGAATAAACAAGCAATGACATATTGTATAGTTTATTGTATGGCTGACTAACTGTTTAATTTTGCTGTGATTCTGAAATTGAATGTGTTTTGAGTGCAACAACCCCAGTTGCACTCTAGGATTAATTAACGAAAAATTATCAGAGAGGAAGTATACAGGGTGAGTTTTAATTGTCCCCCCCCAACTTTTTTCTACATTTTTTCAAATATCAATCCCAGACCACTTCCAAACATTGTTGGGTAGTAAGTACTTCATTTTGACAAGGTGGTCATTTCCGGCCGCCATCTTGGATCCGCCATATTGGATGCAAAATTTTTTTTTCAAATGTAAAGGTGGGGTTGTGACCCATTATTTCGAACTACATTTTTACCCTGATTACAATGTCGCAAACCGTTTAAAAAAATCTTGATTCATTCTAAAGTTACGAGGGCTTTTTAAAACTTTATTTTTAGCCCATTTTAACATTGTGCATTTACAAACTAAGACCATAATCCCAAAATAGTGCTAGATAATGATAAGTATACACTACCAGTAATTGTCCACCTATTTTCACTTGGTTATGACTGATGTATTTTTTTCGGCCGCCATCTTGGATCCGCCATTTTGAAATGTGATAAATTATTTTAAATATGAAGGGGGTGTTGTGACACATCATTTTGAACTACTTTTTTAAGCTGAACTTAATTCCATAATCCGTTTTTCATTTTCATTTTTTGATTTTGAAATATTGACATTTTTAACAAAAAAATTTCAATATTTCATAAATAAAACTTGATAACAAAAAATGGATTGCGGCATTGAGTTAAGCTTAAAAAAGTAGTTCAAAATGATGGGTCACAACACCCCCTTCATATTTAAAATAATTTATCACATTTCAAAATGGCGGATCCAAGATGGCGGCCGAAAAAAAAATACATCAGTCATAACCAAGTGAAAATAGGTGGACAATTACTGGTAGTGTATACTTATCATTATCTAGCACTATTTTGGAATTATGGTCTTAGTTTGTAAATGCACAATGTTAAAATGGGCTAAAAATAAAGTTTTAAAAAGCCCTCGTAACTTTAGAATGAATCAAGATTTTTTTAAACGGTTTGCGACATTGTAATCAGGGTAAAAATGTAGTTTGAAATAATGGGTCACAACTCTACCTTTACATTTGAAAAAAAAATTTTGCATCCAATATGGCGGATCCAAGATGGCGGCCGGAAATGACCACCTTGTCAAAATGAAGTACTTACTACCCAACAATGTTTGGAAGTGGTCTGGGATTGATATTTGAAAAAATGTAGAAAAAAGTTGGGGGGGGGACAATTAAAACTCACCCTGTATATGCATCTATGTGCGACTTTAAGTGAATTTCAGTTCTTATTGATAGAGAGTTATTAAAATAATGCTATGCTTGACTTAAAGCTACAATCCGCTTGTTGGTAACTGTTATAATAGCTGTTATGAAATCTAAAAAAAAGCCACAGCCAAAAAATGGATTCCACTGAACAATATTCCACTGGTGGTAAGTGATCAAAGATTATTTTTATCCGAAATGCTTAAGCAGTCTTTAAATAGACAAAGGTCAATTTTAAACAAAATATCCATTAATTTGGAAAAAATACATAAGTAATAAACAGAATTACTGTACAATCAAAACAGTTATTTTGGCAAAAACTCCAAAGTTGTCAATGTCTAATACAATAACTGTTCATGTTTTAACTAATTTTTAAATCCTTTTAAAAATATTAGATTTTAAAAATGACACAAGTGTAATTTTTCTTGTCTTGTCAAGGTATACAACATTAACAGACATTATATGCCTACCAAAGAAGCATCATAAAATAATTGGCAAAATACTTGACAATTTTCTTTATGCCAAAGCGATATAAATTTTGTTTCAATGATATATTTATGAATAGTTTTATATATGACCAAACCTGATAATACTTGAACCAAATTAAAGCACATATTCTCAAGGGGAAAACACCAGTGAATGATCATTTCAGCTTGAGTTTCCACTTGTATCTGACATGGAAAAATAGGATATTATGCCACAGTGTAGTCATAGGGAATAGTTTAGACGTATTCTCCTGTATTTACAAACTAAATGTAAAAGTAATTATTCAGCAGAATGTTGAAAAATACAATTTAGCGCACATAGATCATGGCACCAGTGAATGACCAGTAGTGTAGTATTATACTATAACATTTTAATTATATTAAACCCCCTCCTTTTCCCCAAATAATCCATTCAAGATTCTCTTGTCAAAGCTGGACACCCTGTATATAATAAAAATTACCTTACCAGGATCGTCATAATATAGATTCTAGTGAATGACTGAATGACTACTTTCCATCTAGTAAATTATCGTAACCTTTAAGCATTGACTGTTGGATACTGAAATAGACGTCGCATCTATATGAACCAGCTATTGGAAACTTTTTTTAATAGAGAACGTAGTTGAGTGAGCCAGTCACAGAATGCGCTAGTGTCTAAAATTCTATTTTCTAACTTATTTTTTGTTGCTTACATAGGTTGATGGGTCATGCTCATAACAGTTGCTATAGCTCACAATAAGTCATTCCACAGTTTGACATAATGAACAAGTTTGTGTACTCGACGGAAATTCGTAATTTACATCAGCACAATCTGTTTGTGGCTCACATCAACTAACTACGACAATTTTGATTAAAAAACTGGCGAGAACTTTAACATGGAGATGGAATGTCTACTTGTATTAATAGTCAAAGCTTTAACACAGTAAAATTGATTAAAGACGTTACAGTGTATCCTCATGATTTCAGATGAGACTTTGTGTTTCCTAGCAAGTGAAATAAATCCATCCAAATCATGGCCATTTATACTGTAGTGTTTATACCCAAATTTGAAAGTTGTGATCCAGTAAATGACCGTCTGTTTGAGTAATTCTTGGTTCAGATTTTGATCTTAAAATAAGTACAGAACTGTACCTTAACGTGTTTTGTTTACTACAAACTACATTGTATTGTAGTTGCAATCAGTAATTAAAGAACTATACATAAAACTTTGTTTTTACAAGACGCGATGGTGGGAAGCTCTAAGACGAACTTGTTGAACATTTAATTTTGTTTGTGTTACAAAGCGATGGTTGACACTATTGTTTTGAACAAGTTAAAGAGTAGATTCCAATCAGGCTCCCTCCAAGGTTACTTTTAAGACTGTTTGTGATGGACTTGGCAACACAAAAAGGAAAAAACCCAATATGTTTTTTGTGCGGTCATTCTCTGGTGCAATCACCCTACCAAACATCTAAATAATCAGGCATATATGCTCCTTAGTTGTAGCCATTTGTTAGTTTCGTTGTTGGGTAGAGAGATATAACTTAATAAAAAAATAGATTACACTATATAAAACACACACCGTTTTAAAATAAATCTAAAGTACATAAAATAATACAAGACAATAAACTCGAATTGAGCATCCATGGAAGATACTGGTAACTTTTTGTACTGAATTACACTAAACTTAATATGACAAACTATAGCCTACAGAGACCAGAATATAAATATAACTTACAAGTATATAAACAACCTAAAATATCTCTTAAAATTATTTCAGTCCTTCAATGGTATAGAAACTAAATTAGCCTAATGAATAAGGCTAGCCAATCTTGTTAAAAAATAATGTACTGTAGTTAAACGATTCACTCACTGAGTGCGGACATTTTAATTGTACGGATTAGAAATAGTCTAAAACTATGGCTAATTGTGCAAAAAGTAGTTTAAAAATATGATTTATTTGTTGATTTTTGTAATGTTTTCATTGTTAACTAGTTTGTTGTTATTACAGTATTCAAGTTATTTGAGTTTATCAGTATGTAATTTTAACAAAAAATACAAATAGTTTATAACTGTACATATAATGAATAGTTCTAAATTGATCTACTAAAATGAGCAGATCCCGTTAGTCCATCGTCCTATCAATGAATAAAAACCCCTCATCCAAACAAGAATTATATAAAACTTAAACTTGAGAGTGTTAATAGTTTGATTAAGTACACAAGTTTGAAGGTTGGATCCAACCAGTGAAGTACTTACACAACTCGTCAATATAACATGATAAACATAGAGGAGGCCAACATATAACTAAACATGTACTAAACTCGATGACTTGATCTTTCAGACAAAAAATCTAACAGTGGTAAAATAAAAACAGAAATGATTTGTTGGTTTGAATATTGACTAAAATATCCAAATTCAGAGGTAAGAATACCTTTGGCCGAAGCGAGAGTGTCAAGTAGATCAGCAGAATATGTAATGAAACAATAAGCAGATTTCAGGTGTCTTTGACAGACTGTATGTTCCAACCTAGTACCAGCCGATCAAAGCCACAGGAGAAGAAGTTGCACGGCATGCTGAGAGAGTTGTCATCCACCCACGTCACACAGCACACCATACGTTGATGACCCTGGCCAAACATCATATGTTACCAGAAAGGATATCTTGTTCTTGTTATACTACTATTATAAATCTCATACAGTAGACTCTCAGTAATCCGGCAGATATAGGACCGCAATACTGCCGGATTACTGGAATGTTATCATTAAAAACACTTAAAATGCAATTAATACGGACGCGTTGCAGAAAGTCAACAGTCCCGGAAGGTCAAATAATTTATACCTGTGCCGCTAGGTCAAAAACTACAATGTTTGCAGTGTCTGTAGATCAAAAATCCCAGTAAGTCAAATAGTACAGTCCGAGCTAAAAACGTGGTCTATGTTAAAGCAATCGACTTATTGGGAATTTGACCTAATGCAACAGCAGTTTTAATATAACGAAATAAGATAAAATATAAGTTCAGTTTCGCTGAGTCAACAGTGCCGGAAGGTCAAAAGTATAATCTGTTAAAAACAGCGATAGTCCTCTCGACGCATGACTTCAATAATTACGTGTTTTGGTGTACTTAAAGTTGTGCTAAAATTTTGAAAATTGGCACAGAGCTTCTTGGTTAGTCCTACTCGATGACTATTTTGTTGAACTTTAAACTATTTACCGATCTAATTAATAAAAATTGATATGTATGGTGAAATAGTTTTAAATCGTGATTTCTAGCATGAAAAAGTTAGCATGCGAGAGTTTTTGTTTGTTTTTGGGTTAAGGAGGTTTTGTCTGTGGCAAAGTTGTAGCCAAAAGTGTGATGCGTAAAATATATTTTTTTTGAATTTTTTACAATCAGTGGTTCAATAGATAACTTGGGTTGAAGAGGACGGCAAATTTAACATTTCGCAACGCATGGAAAGAACTACATCGTACGATGCGACTGCTGAGTGGACTTTTAATTTACAGTTCTAAGAACAAGAAAAAGATGAATATACAGATCACCAGTACATTCATATTATTTATAAAACATCTTTCTGTATTACCAGCTTACATTTTTCACTTATAAGAATACATCATAAACAGGGTGTTAAAAATAAGCGGGGAGATACTTTACCTAGTAATTCCTTGGGTCAAAATAAACAGAAAATGAAGGATAACATTTTTTCCAAAATCGTTTCGTTAACCAGATATCCGCCATTTTGTATTTTTTACATACAAATATTTATCTTTACACTTTTCCAACCGATGTTTATGAAACTTGGTATGTATCCAACTTGGTATGTAGGTAGGAGAGACCCATGTTATAAAAAAAGATTCATCTCGATTCACCCTAAAATTTCAAAATTTAACACTTAACTACAATATAATATACTTTACTACACCACAATATTTACGTATCACCATAAATCTTTAATAAAATAAAACGTTCACATTTTTAAAATCCAAAGTAAATCAATATAATCATATAATCAATATAAAAAAGTGCACTAGTACTTACTATAGTTCGGCCGCTTAGAAAGCGACCTCCTCCAGCATTGGTTTACCATTAGCGCGCAGGTCGTTTTCTAAGCGGCCGAACTATAGTGTCCAATAACAATTTGATGGATTTAACCAAAACCTTTTCTATTTAACTTATTTTCAGGTGTTAAATTTCAAACGATACGTTTTAGCTACATCATTAACATTATTATCATCATCATCATCGTTTGAGTTTGGGTTTGCGGCAATGTATTTTTATAATTAAAACCTTTAATTTGATACCTACCAAACTTGACCTCTGCTGCTATTAATTGACTGTATGGACTATTAATTAACAGCTGTGTCTAAGGATTACGTCGGCCTTAGTCACTAACAGGACAACAAGATCGCTCCACTCATCACACACTCAACTCCATTCATACTTGGCTTAAAATGCATACATTTGTATGGTCGCCATTTCAAAAACAGGTAAAATAGTATTAAAATTATATAAGAATTTTGTCTTAGTCTTTGTGGTCCATCCCCCTTAAGGGATTAAACAGTGATAATAGCTTAAGACAGTAGATATTTATGGCTATTATATTATTGATATACCAAGTCTCACTACTTTATCTATATTGTTAAAAAAATATAGCCAATCCAGGACTTTTCAACCATACTGTATAACGCCAACAAGAAATTTTTCCGTTGAACTCCTCCGAATTTCTTAGGTGATTTTGACCATTCATGTCTCATTAGAAAGAGCGTGTCACGTACATTTGCAAACCAACCTTACATTTTTAAATCCCTTGGGCTCAGCCCCAGCGGCTCATGTTATGAACCCATGTTATGCCTATGAAGAACATATTGATTTATTTATATTAGGATCAGCCCAGTTAATTGCTGTTATGCAATTCAAGGAAATAATGTAGGTTACATTATTAACATGTTACTGATTTGTTTCAAATACTATATTTACTATTTCTATTTGGGTTTGCAGGATAATTTAATCCATTTTACCAAACAATAAAATTAATGGACAAAGTAGTATATTTCATGAGCTTTCATTGAAAGGGCCGATTGAAGTCCTCATCAACCAAAATAATGCCTACTAAAGCAATTAAAATTGAGACGAACATGCAATGCACGAAATCAGGTGGTTCTTAAGTATGTGAAAAAATGTATCGCTATTCAAAAACAGACGGAAAACTTGTAACCATATTCTTGACAACGGGTGTAACCATGTAACATGGCTACATTATCAATGACAAACGTGGACAACCTTATACGAGTGTGAGTACGTCCGAAAACAGAGTAAGTCCGAAAACAACTCTAAAAAACAATAAGCAATAAATTGCAAGAACCGTTGCTTATATCATTGGGTACGGTATACACGCATCCACTGACGTGTATACTCAATGCTTATATCGAACTGTTATATGTACATCGTGAGTTGTTCCATTAGTTGTTTCATTTAGTTGTGTGTCCATTAGTATAGTAGTTTAGTTGACTCTTTTAAAGTCGGCGGAAATTGTGACTGTTATTACCCTTGAAATAATGTTTGTGAAGTACTTTGCAATCCAATGCTTATAGAATCATACGATTAAAATTTTCTGGTTAGAATATGTCGCATAGAGTGGTGACTAATGTATCTTTTTGGTTTGCTTGTAAAACAGGATCAACAGAGATTTTCCATCGACTTAAACAATACGATACTCCCAAATTGTTCATTGCAATAACAAAATATCACACAGTTTGATGAATATTTGTGTGTACACCACATACAGTACACCTTTATTCTATCTATTTTACCTTTTATTTTTCCAAGACTTTATAGAAAATCACGCATTACGTGATCAGTGAAGAAAAGGCTGTATCCCATGTGTTTTATAGGTAAAGAAGACAAGGGCGCTCCTAGACATATATTTTGGGGGGGGGGGTCACCGGGGGCCTGGGGGGTATGGAATACCCCTCAAAAAGGAGGAGGTCTTGGGGTTCCCCCCAGGAAAAATATATAAATAAATAAATATACGCTATACAGGGTGATCAACTCAAGGAGGCCACCATTGGGATATCGGAAACGGTAAAAATTAGAGAAAACTTAAAACGGAAGACATTCCTTTATTTTTTGTGGCAGTTTAAAATATGATTTTAGTCGTTTGAAATTCAGCCGCCATTTTCCAAAATGGCGGCCAAATTTGAAATTTCTTATCGAACACCCTATATTTTATCATGTTTTCGGACATAATAGGCAGTTTTAAAACTTTTTTATCCTTGACATTTTTTCGATAAACCCACTCGTTTAGGAGTTACAGCCTATGGAAAAATGACTTCCGGTGTACATATTAAATCATGTAGCTCCTAAACAAGTAAGTTTAAAGCAAAAACACGAGGAGTAAACGTCTTACAATTGCATCCACATTCCAAAAAGACCATAAAATTAATTAAAAATAGAAATTATATTATTTTAAAAAATGGCGGCAAACTTGAAAAGTGGAAAACTTTTTATTTTATAGTCTTTAAGGAATGAAGATGCAATTCTAAGACTAATTTACTTTTTGCAATTTTGCTCTAAACTTACTCGTTTAGGAGCTACATGATGTAAAATGTACACCGGAAGTCATTTTTCCATAGGCTGTACTCCCAAACGAGTGGGTTTATCGAAAAAGTGTCAAGGCTAAAAAAGTTTTTAAATTAGATATTCTATCCGAAAACATGATAAAAAAAACTAAAATCATATTTTTAACTGCCACAAAAAATAAAGGAATGTCCCCCATTTAATGTTTTCTCTAATTCTTACCGTTTCCGACTTCCCAATGGTGGCCTCCTTGAGTTGATCACCCTGTATATATGAATTTGAACGGATGGTGTTTTTGGCCTCTAGGGACCTCAAAACGAAAAATTAAATCGGTCCCGGGTCCAGGTGTTACCATAAGTACTACGGTAATAGCTTATTCCCTATATGGGAAATTCGCCAAAAACCTAATAGTTATATAGAACAATATTACATTCAACCAGCTGTTAGTTAAAACAAATTATATGGGACTAAAACAAATCGATGATTACAAAGATTCCTTTAAAAAATAATTTGAACATCCTACTATTTTTCTATGCAAATTTAAATAATCTGCCATCCTCATACCTAGGAATTGAATGTATCAATGGTCAGCATTACACATAGTATAAATAAGTCAACTCTAAATATGTCTTTAAATTTGTTTCCAAATGCTGAATTTGTGTCACAAATGCTGAATGTTTACAGCTGTTATGCTAAGCAAATTATATTGTACTAAAAGCTGGCTTAGAAGGTTAGCGTCGGCTGCTAGACTTTAAAAAAATTAAAACTTAATTTCTAAAAAACTGGGACCCTTAATTATAATTATGGCTTTGACATTCCCTAGTTCTCAAAATTATCTTTCTTTCAACACAAAAATAATGAAAATCCGTCGACTGGTTGATTCAGAATGTGAAAAAACCATATTTACGTTTTAATAATATATATGATAGTTTGGACAGGTTTCAACCCTTCCGAGGCGTAATACATTTACACAGTTTATGTGTAGACTACATTATAACTTATAAAATAGTTCTAAAATTAAATGGATCTCATCTCATGGAGGTGTCATTTGATTTGGCATAAAATTTCCCACATTTTGTTATTCTTGTGTTTTTTTTTTTGTAACTCTAGTGGTTTTCATGTTATTTGAGGTCAAAGATTTTAGATGGCCGCCATTTTGAAACGGCTATAGTCAACGAAATGAAATTTTGCATGTTTGTGTAACACGTTAAAATACACAAGTGTGTCAAATTTAAAGTTTGTACCTCGATTCAAACTCGAGTTATAAAGTTATTTATAAAAAACACGTACAGACAGACAGACAGAAAACGAGGCTCCGGCGACCCACGTTTATAATGTAAAATATTCATGTATTAACCCAAGGAATAATCCTGTGAATTTTTTCGAGAGAGTTCACAAACACCCTGTATAATAACCAGAAATTTTCAGATCGTCCTTGCGTGTATTTTATGCCACAAATTTTGACGAAAGGCTTTTCATTACATAAACTATACCTATTTACAGTGTTGACCAAACAGTTGGCAAGAAGCATTAATAGATAAGCTATGTACCAAATATAATTTTAGCTCTATTCTAATTATGACAAAACACGAAGTAACTAAAAGCAAGTTTTGTTGGTGTAGTAAGCGTTGCAGGAGGTCTACTTTACACTGAATCGACGTTCACTTTTATTGCTTTTGATCTTCCGGCACTGTTGACTCAGTGAAACTGAACTTGTATTTTACCGTATTTCGTTATATTAAAACTGCTGTTGCACTAGGTCAAATTCCCAATAAGTCAATTGCTTTAACATAGACCACGTTTTTAGCTCGGACTGTACTATTTGACTTACTGGGACTTTTGATCTACAGACACTGCAAACATTGTAGTTTTTGACCTAGCGGCACAGGTATAAATTATTTGATCTTCCGGGACTGTTGACTTTCAGCAACATTCCCATTAATACACGTCTCCGAAGATCATGTGATCCGAAACCGCTATTGCCGCGATCAGGCATGTTGACGATGACGTTTCCGTATTCGTGGCAGACGATGATAACGTCTACACGGCCACGGGAGATAATCATGATTTTGCCATGATCGTTCATGACGACGATGACGTTTCCGTGACCACGGGAGGCGATGATAACGTCTACACGGGCCGTGATCGCGCATGACGAAGATGACATTTTCGTGACCGTGGGAGATTTTCATGATTTTGCAGCCATCGCGCAAGTCGAGGGTGACATTTCCGTGGCTACGGAAATAGACAATGATGTTTACACGGCTGCGGGAGATGATACAATTTTTGCTGCGGCCGCGGAAGACAACGATTCTACATGACCGCGGGAGATGTTCATGATTTTGCCGTGATCGCGCAAGACATCTTGTTGATGACTCTTCCTTGGGGGTGTGGGAGGCGATGATAACGTCTATACGTCCGCTGGAGATGTTCATGATTTTGCCGCGATCGCGCATGACGATGATTACTTTTCCGTGACCTGGGGAGATGTTCATGATTTTGCCGCGATCGCGCAAGACGACGATGACGTTTTCATAACCGCGGGAGAGAATGATGATGTCTACACAGCCGCGGGAAAAGACGCCAGATTACTGGAGTGCCGGATTAGAGAGTGTCTACTGTAGTTGAGTACAATGACAATGAAAAGAAGCTGTCACAGAACAGTTAAATCCTTTGTTGGTAGCAACAGGGCCCCGTTAAGAGTCAGTGGAGCACTGGGTAAACCCCAAAAGCAGCACCCCCTTTTTACCTAGTGCGGGCGGGCGGTGGTTTGGGGGCACCCAACCACCGGCGCCCCTGGGCATATGCCCAGTCTGCTTATTTATAAAAGTGGGCCTGGGAAGCGTCCAGGTTAAAACAAAGGTAGGCCTACATCTGGATGGTTATCAATGGAGTTGTACAATTTTTTTTAAAGCTACTCAGACAATTAGTTTGTTCCAGCTTTCTTTTTCCTCTGAATCCATTGCCAAGGGCCTAATTGATATCAGCAATGGAAGCAACTCATGGTCTTAATCAGATATTATGTTAAATATGTGTAATGAATATAGCCCAATAAACAATGTGCTACTGAAATTAACTTTGATTATTAAAATAAAACTAGCCGACCTGTGTGAAGCATTTGCACTTTATCATCCACAAATCTTAGTTAGTAAGTCTACCGTGTAGTTAGTGTGTCATTGATTTAGGTGTTGGTTGTTAACATTTCAAAATCTTTTATTTTTTAAAGTATAAGGTATTTACAGCATATTTATATGCTGTATATTTGAGCACTATGTTGTAAGTGTAATCTAAAGTTAGAAGTCAATAGTCATCTGTGATTGTTTTTTATTAGGTTTGTTTTACACAGACATTGATTTAACTGAAAGAACACACCCTGGAAAACACCACACATAAATGACCATGTGAACAAACAGGGCCAGGAAAGTACAATCCTGCCTTTGTTAGCGTCTGTCCCTGTGTCTTATCAATTTATAGTCATGGCAATGGCAACTGATATGGAAAATTCCTAGTCAGTTGTAAAAGATCATAAGAGGTGAGTTTAATATGTGGTATGACAACTCTTTGGCCAGTCCCCCAAACACGACTTCATTGAAAAATGACACAACTGAAGTAGTGTACGTACTGTTTTATTGTTACTTTAACGCAGTTAAATCAAAATTCCTATAACAGACTAAAAGATTAATGACAATACCTCAGACTGCCATTTATAGAGATTTATCTGTATTTCTAGTTAGTTGGTACCTGTCTGTTGGTGCGAGGCAGCCTTGCTATTCGCTGGCCACCCAGGTCGTACAGCCGCACTTGTCTGTTGTCATGAGGTATAGCGACCACCCCAGTGTTGGACACATCCAGTCTGTTGACAGCCGAGTCTGACCGTATCGTTGCCAAAGGAGACCTCATGTTACGCAGATCCCACACCTGATACCGACATAACAAAACTGAAATCCAATGATCCCATTGTGCTGTATTCAGATCCTAGGACAACCTATAAATCCATCTTACAGAGTAGGCAACATTTCTCAAAAGAGTACTCCTTATAATAAGATAAGAGAACCTCTCTTTGAAATTAAATTAAATCAAATACAACAAACTACTGTGTCATAATATAAATCAAAATAAAAATGGCTGAGCATAGGACAGAATAAAATAAATGATAAAATATTACTGCAAATTATCATAGTTTAGGATAGGTCATATATGTGACTGAAATGACTAGATAAGTAACAGTTTATCAAATGACAAAAAACTCATGACAAGATTGCTATATAATTGTAATTATGTATTTACAAGTTATATGAATGATAGTTACAATAATGCTACTTGATTTTGTTACCTTGACACTTCGGTCGTCTGAGCCTGAGACTACCTTGTCTTCCCTCTTAGTAAACACAGCACACGTGACAGTGCTAAAACAACATCAACGTCAAGCTTAGACCACTGTAAGTACTGACCTAGTTTTGAGTAAATTTATAATTTTATCTTTTTAACCCATTGAATAGTTATAAATTTTTTCACGATATGTTGTGTTATGTCTTTTATCGCATATAACTTAACACGATATGTCCATATTTAACAAAAATAAGAGGCAAAAAAGAAAAAGATTCAGTGTTCTCCTCCCCTATACCGATCTAAAAAGAAGCAAAACAGATGTAGTTTGCAATCCCTATTGCCATCAATTTCCACCCAAGCCACTAAGCCACACTGTTTATGTAAGTTCGGCCCACCCACCAGCTAAGCCACACAGTAGTAAGCTTAATGTAGATTGAACATGTACATGATTAAAAACCCGTGCATGTAGTTAAGCAACAAATGCTACACCTTGTCAGTTCAAGACCTTAGCTATCATGCCAACGTCACAGACAGGTGGTCCCTGAATTCCTATTTTGTGCAAAACTAGCGTTCGCAGGTCTAATTTGAGCGCATATCAGATCAACTATTTGTACCCTAGTGGGATAGCAGTACAGCTGGCATAATGACACAAGAAACATATGTATGTCTGGATTGGCAAGAAGTTAAAGTGCTTGCCTTCAAATCTGAAGGTCGCTGGTTTGATTCCAAGCCTATCGTTTCCAGGACCAGATGCAATTTGTCATTGGGCTATGAATTAAGGATGCTATCTAACGAAAAGGTCGATGTTAGATAGTAAAAAGACCAGAGTTTGGACTATTCCCTTTCAAAATGTTAAAAAATTACATTGGCGTAGAAAACATTAAAGAAGCATAGCAAATATTTAAAAAATAGAAAATAAGTATAAAAAGTTGAGTTTACTGTTTTTATCTTTCTGACTCACTCTGTGTGGCCCTGAAAGACAGATACTGAGTGTATAGGCTCTCTGAAGTCCCACAGTCTGAAGGTTGTATCCCTGGAGGAAGTTACAACTAGACGCTGGGAATGGTGAGCTGATGTATGTGTCAATTCCTGATCATGGCCTAAGACAAACAAACAATGTGTAAGCTCAACTGTAAATTCAAGTCAAACTTGTTGAAGGCTACTTCATATGTGCTGCAATCTAATAGACAAACCTGAAACTAATAAGCTAAGGAATTTCATTTATTAGCATTGTTCATTAGCTTTGTTAGAGGAATTGACAGTAGGATTGATAATTTAACTGGAGAGTCCTGATTAAATAAACAACTATTTCATTGTTTCTTGTTTCAACAACAAGTTGTTGAAGTTGTATGCCTCCAGCAAAAGCAGTTATCACAAAAAATACCGTTTCCTAGATGTTATACAACCAATCAAATAAATGGAGGCTAATGACTGCATAAAAGGTGAATAGTCATTTATTAAGTCTTTAAACAATACAGTATTGTAATTGACATTGACATTATTATTGTAAAAAAGATATAAGCTGCTATACTTGTATAGGCTACTTAATACAAATTAGACATGAAAAATCCAAATTATAGGCTCCCCTTAATTCAACATTTAACAGGTTAAAATTAGGCACATTGTTTTTCAGTCTTTGATCCTCCAGTAGTATGGACAATTTATCAAGCCAATTTATGGCTAATTTTATTTTTAGTTTTAATTTATGGCTTGTATCAAGTCTTTATTTTGGGATGTAAGTGATGGTCACTCGAAGCAAGGTATGGTAAAATTTCATCCAACATACATACAGCAAACAATTTTATTTTTTTTATGAAAAATTCTTAGTTGAGTGATGTAGACAGTTTTGAAATGATAAATGAGTCCACTATACAGAAGCCTGTTGTTACCACTGAGTGTCTGCAACATCTCCCCAGTCTCCACGTCGTACAGACTGGCTGTGCGGTCCCAGGACGCAGTGACAGCTTGGTCACCCCCGGCTAACCAGTCTGCTGACATCACCACACTGGCGTGACCTGTCAGCTCCACCAGGGGCGTCCTCAGCTGCTCTCCCTGCTCACTCTCTCCCTCGCCTCCACCCCCGCCACGGAAGTCTTCTAGCTCTTCTGAATCTGAGTTGCCTTTCTGCAAAACATAGGAGATATTGATAGGTGATGTACAGTAAAGTAAAAAATTTTAAACAAAATATCAAGCAAAATATATATTATTTATTCCAAACAAATAAAAATATTGTAAAGAAGTGTTTTAGACTCCCAAGAGAATTTTTAGGTTAAAGGTACAAAGGTACTCGGAGACATCAAAATGACTCCAATGCTCCGAAGGGGAGGTAAGGTACTCGCCCCCCACCACTTGGGTACCATTCGGCGGGTACTTAACCAGGGTGTTTGGCACCGAGAAGTCAGTTGGGCCTCCGGGCCCGACCCCGCCGAATGGGCGTGCTGAGCCACCGGTGTGGGGCCTGATGGGCGTGTTGAGCACCGGGCACCGTCGGACGGGCGTGTTGAGCCCCCGACACCCTCGCATGGGCGTGTTGAGCCCGCGAGACACCTGATGGGCGTGCTAAGCCACAGGTACGCTGGACGGGCGTGTTGAGCCCCCGGCACCGTCGGACGGGCGTGTTGAGCCCCCGACACCCTCGCATGGGCGTGTTGAGCCCGCGAGTCACCTGACGGGCGTGTTGAGCCACAGGTACGCTGGACGGGCGTGTTGAGCCCCCGGCACCCTCGCATGGGCGTGTTGAGCCCCCGGCACCCTCGCATGGGCGTGTTGAGCCCGCAAGACACCTGATGGGCGTGTTGAGCCACGGGTACCGCTGGATAGGCGTGTTGTGCCCCCGGCACCGTCGGACGGGCGTGTTGAGCCCCCGGCACCCTCGCATGGGCGTGTTGAGCCCGCGAGTTACCTGATGGGCGTGTTGAGCCACAGGTACGCTGGACGGGCATGTTCAGCCCCCGGCACCCTCGCATGGGCGTGTTGAGCCCGCGAGACACCTGATGGGCGTGCTGACCCACAGGTACACTGGACGGGCGTGTTGAGCCCCCGACACCCTCGCATGGGCGTGTTGAGCCCGCGAGACACCTGATGGGCGTGTTGAGCCACGGGTACGCTGGACGGGCGTGTTGAGCCCCCGGCACCGTCGGACAGGCGTGTTGAGCCCCCGGCACCCTCGCATGGGCGTGTTGTGCCTGCGAGTTACCGCTGGATGGGCGTGTTGAGCCACCAGCACCGTCGGATGGGCGTGTTGAGCCCCCGACACCCCGCATGGGCGTGTTGAGCCCGCGGGACACCTGATGGGCGTGTTGAGCCACGGGTACCGCTGGACGGGCGTGTTGAGCCACCGACACCCTCGCATGGGCGTGTTGAGCCCGCGGGTCCGTAGTCGTAGGTGGAGGGGAGGACTTTGGAGTCTCCCACCACTTTCAAAGCATATACATAGGTATACGCTAAGTGTTGAAGGAGTTTACGTCGGACTGCAGACCGAGTAGACTGCCTAGAGAGTGCTAACTTCTGAGCAAGTGACGCCAGAACCGTCTCCAGTGGAGAGCAGTAGCACATTAAACCGGCCCAGCTTGACTTCTGTGCTTGGAAAGCCAGAACCGTCTCCAGTGGAGAGCAGCAGCTAGGGGACCGAGGATTCCGGGGTGAAGGTGCCAAGGATCTAGACCGCGGACCCACACGGATATCTTTTAGGAGTGTCGTAGACCACCGGGCCAGTAAGGGCGCAAGCAAGACTTGATCCAACCTCTGCCCAACCCCTGAATACGAGCCCGGAGACACTGCCTGGTAGGAGGACTACGGACCCAGGATCAAGACTGTATATAATATTGTATATATAAACATATGTGTTAGGATAAGGATATCAGGGAATAAAATGGAAGTTTGAGATACCCAGAGTCTTTCACTTATCGACCCTTACCACCCTTGATAAGGCCTAGTGCTCTGGAGGAAACTTCCTCACAATATATCAGGTCTACTTGATGTTTCAAACTACACAAAATAACATAGAGTAGTCACAAAATTATATTGAATTGTCTTTGTAAAGTATTATCAATTAAGATGGGGGAACAACTGGGCGTATTTTAACCCAAATGTGAGTGAAGTATGAGTATAGGGGTGATATGCCTAAAGTAGCACTGACCAAGACCAAAAGTTTCATTGGGCGTGGGAGATGTTCATGATTTCGCCACTAACGCGTGAGACGACAATCTTGTATTCGAGACGAAGATGACATTTACACGGCCGCGGGAGATATTCATGATTTTGCCGCTATCGCACAAGACCACAGTCACGTTTTCGAGACTGCGGTAGTCAGAAGATGATGTTTACACGGCCGTAGGAGATGTTCATGATTTTGCCGCTATCGTGAAGATGATGATCACGAGTCGTTCATTATTCCACCGCAATCGGAGGAGACGAAGATGACGTCTCAGCACCCGCGCAAGGTGCTAACTATTTCTCCACGGCCATAGGAGACGTTAATGTTTTCACCGTGATCGGAGGAGATGAAGATGATGTTTTCACGATCACGCAAGGTGTTCACCATTTCTTCGCGGTCACATGAGTCGTTCATGATTCCGCCGTGATCGAAGGAGCATTAACAACATTTTTTATTCAGATACCTGAACACCAGTAGCTTAACAAACCCTATTCAACAAAAATGGCCAAGAACAAATACTAAGGTGTACATAAGATCTGATATAGTGTACATGTAATATACTGGATGTATTTACCGAAGCCTCCCAGTTGACAGCCGCTTGCCAGACATGAGCCTTGTGATCGCCACTAGAGGTGAGCACCAGGTCTCGTAGAGGATGGAACCTCAGTGAGTTGACAGAGCCTTGGTGTCCCAGGTATTGTAACAGACATTTGCCAGAGTCTACACCCCAGATACAAGCTCTGTGATCTACACAACACATACACAAGATACTGCAGTCAGTTTGGTACTTCTACATATAGTTAACACTTCAAGTAGTTTTACACAACTGCTATGGGGGGAATGAGCAAGTCTAGTGGTAAAGCGTGGGACTTTGGTTCCTGAGGTACGGTACCTATCCTACCAACCACCAATGGATTTTATCTAGGTAATAATGTTGCATCCAGTTATTGACCTCAGTTACTGGTCTAGCTTTAAGTAACGTCCTGAGATATGGAGGTGGGATATAAACAAAAATAGGCCTACTATGCATCACTTATTTGGTCTCGTTCTTAATCTCCCATTTCACGTATTACTACACAATGTCAAGCCTTAAACCAAAGTTCCAATAACACAAACTGAGGAGCAATACCCTCCGTCTACAATATATTTTAAGCATTTAAATCCATACAATGAGTATATGTGAATGGTACATAGAATTAAATTATGAAATCAATTTCATCAAGGTGCATAACAAAGCACATAATTATAACTTACAAATATTTCTCAAATCTAGGTTATTTTTTTTTTTTTTTTTTTTGCTAGGCACTAGTCTGGGATTGTTTTTCACATTACTTCAGACTAGACCTAGGGGTTGCGGCATTATCACTTAGATAAGATCCATTGGTGACTTGGCGGGGATCGAGCCCGGGACCTCAGAGACTGAAGTCCCGCGCTCTAACCACTACGCCAGCACGCTCCCCATCTAGGGTATAGGGGTGACACATCAAAACGCCTATGTCAGGTCAGTCGGTCAGTGTCTCTACCACAAGTCATCGTCTGCCAGTCAAGGCTGGCCATTGGCCGCTCAAGAAAAATAAAAATAAAACGAGGCAGCAACTTGTGTATACAGAGCAACAGCATGCGACATTGCAATATTGATTTATATTAAAATAATTAAGCTGGGACAGACCCTTCAACTCCACATAGGAGACTTTTTACCAAATTACAAGTAATTTACAAGCAAATTCAGCTGCTCAATTTATACTAAATATTTTATTTGGGAAATTGTTGCAAATATACCTCTAAAGTGATTGTGTGTAATATGTTCAATAAATGCATACAACATAATATTAAAAATGCAGTCATTCATGACTTTCTAAAATACATTATATAAATCTAACTCTAACATAATTTTTGTATCACTTTTGCTGTGACACGCTGCCCTGGTATTTGTTACCTGCGGAGGCGGTGCCGATGATAGGCTGCCCCGGACGAGCGACAGCTACTTCCCACACTCCATCTCTGTGTCCAGTGAACTCTCTCACTAGGTTGCAGCCCACTGTAGGACCCTTGAAACTGGACACTATCTTGCTGGTCTGGGCCTTCAGCTTGTGAGCTGTCTTCAGCTTCTGGGAGGAACTCCCCACTGCTGAACACACACAGACAACAATAAGAATCTTTATTCTCCTTTGAAAATTTTACAATAGGGTCCCTCATTTTGAGGATTGTTACATGTTACAACTACAGTGCCAATACAGATACGGTATGATCTATAATTAATATATAAAAGAAAAAAACAATAATTATTAATCTATATATTAATTACGTAAGGCGATTCTTTGCGTCAAAATTGTGGGGGACTGGGATGTCGCAGAACGACAAGAGAGGGCTTTAATTAAAGGTCTCTACTCTCTATTCCGTGACGGTGGTAAAAATAGTGGAATTCACAAAAGTTTAACCGAAATTTAGATATAACGTAAAAAGTTCTCCATAAGAATAGCAATGGAAGCCATATACACAGCTGATTTTTATTTACTTTAATATAGTTGATCGTGATATATTTCCAAGCCAGTGTTCAATACACACAGTTGGTTTACTTAGCCAGTTAACTCTGCAATGCACTGTAAACTGTATTAAAACCAGGGATAACGTTATCTATAATTGAGACATTTTCTGAAAACCAAAAATCAAACCAAAGTTTTGTGTAAACTGTCAATATTGGCTTCGACAACTGGGAAATAGAACCTTAAAACAATAAAATATAACTCAATGTGGCTAATAAAAATGTTAATTTTTTATAGTACTTATTTACTTCCCTAAAGTTTCATGACGATCGGATAGTCGTTTGGTAACACAAAAAGGACAAACATTGGATTTCATAGATTTACAACAACCAAAGTAAACAGAGAGACTTTTTTGAAAAAGATACAGTCATTTCCATCTTGACAAATAAAAAGTTTGATTCTTAGTTTGTTTGAATATTAAAATAAGGTGTTTTATATTTTAAGCTTTTTAGGGAATTACCTCCCTACATGCCCCTAGTTTTAAGTTATTTCTTGATTAAATTAGTTAAAATAAGCTGACCTAGTTTAGAATCTGCTATTGGCATTTACGTAATAAATTACTAAAAAGGACCTTCATGGGCCCAGTATAAAAGTGGAGGAAGCCAACTATCAAAATTAGCATGGCTGAAGATACAATAATTTACACTCAAGAGTCAGATGACTTTTTGTTTTTAATTAAGTAGTTGTTTTTAAGTTTAATTATAAGACTGAAACAGTGGATTTTTTGGAGTAGGCCCTATGTTATGTATTTTGGTTGTTTCACTACCATCATAACTTTAAAATTCCTTTAAGAATTTAAATGTTTCTTAGAAAGAACTTGTATGATGCTTTATTTACATCACATAGCTGAAAAATATTACTACTCTGATTTCATAAAAAATAACTATCTTAATTTTTTTTTCAAAACTCTTTTATCGGCTTTATGAATTCAGTAGATCTAGAGTTAATTACAAGTGATGGAATACTTACATTTGTGCTTGGATACTTTAGTAGGTACATCAAAGTCTGTGTAGTCAAATCCTGGTTTTTCATTCACAAGACTTTCTCTTTCTAGTTTCTCACTGAGTATATCAACTTTTTCTTGTACTGAAAACATGTGGGTCTAATTAAAAGAAAAACTACTTAATCTGTAGCTCATTCTTAATTTCACAGAAAACTATAGGCTAAGCAAAATTATACAAAATAAAAACATTAACAATCTTCCTTTAACTAAACATACTAAGGCCCGGTTTCCCCAACTCATTTAAACTTAGTTTTAAATTAAACTGTGATTTAAACTTAGTTTAACTAAGATTTGTGTTTCTCCAAATTTAAACTAGGTATTAATCTAAGTTCAAACTAAACCAACTCTCGACTTGGTTTAACTACTGGAGATAAAATAAACTGAGTTCAAATTAGTAAAATACAACAGTAACATAACCTCAAATAATTCCAAAACAATAGGTAGGTTAATAATTTAAGCATCAACAAATTTATTTGGACGAAAATAGGCTTGGCTTAGGGCTGGCTTATATTGTAAAGGCCTATAATTAAGTTAAGTTTTATTTATATTTTAATTTATTTTGTTTATTAAGTTCTTTAAATTTGTACATTTATTTTTTTGCAAGTTAGGCTACTATTAATTGCAGTATTTGCATTAACTCAAATGGAAGAGTCAATTGACATTTTTGAAGAAGTTGATGAAGATTATAACACTTTGATACCAAGAACAAGAGGGCCTACTAAAATAAGGGACAGAATTCTTTTGGTTGTAAAAGAAAAATCAACTTTATAACATAACATAACCTTAACACGTTGGGTGCTGATGACGGGAATTCCCGCAATTGCTTAACATTGAAATAAATGCAACTTTTATGTTCAAACATGTCGATAGCACGAATAGTGTTAAACAGTGATGTTATTCTAGCAGCATTCGCACTTTGCTCGTCTGCTCTACCGAGTTGTAGCGTAGCGTAGCGAGCGTTGTAAGAAACACTAGCCCAAAGCCCACCGAAGATTCTTTACAAATACACATTCAGGATTGCCAACCGCTCGAATTGCCGTTTATCTTAAACGAAGCCAGTAAAATGTCGGAGAAACCGAACACACATTTTAAACGGAGTTTAAAAATAAACTAGTTTATTATAAACGAAGTTTACACCATTTTGGGGAAACTGGGCCTAAACCCTATTACTAAATAACTATCAAATTTCCACCATGCAAGTGAAACACTGACCTAGCATACATTACATTTATAAACAGCTGGTTTACTAATTCTAATTCTAATAGCAAGTATATTCATAAGAATAATATAGCAACTTTGGAAGACAGTGGGGCATAGGCAGGGCCCTAGAAGAGATTAAGAATAAAACCAGGCCTATGTCCATCTGTGTTATATTGGTTATATTCTTGCAAAATTTCATCTCAATTGGTCCAGTAGTTTTCACGTGAAAGAGTTGAACTTATCGCCACTGTTGGATAACAATTAATTTTCTGGGTAGATTTAGTGATCTATTGTTTCTTATTGCTGTGAATGATCTACCTTGTAACTTAAATGGAAATATTTTTTCAATATGCAGATGACACCACCATGCTTGATATTGATATGCTTGGTAGAGATATCTCTAACCTCAAAAATTCTGTTCATGGAATCGATAGGGCCACATAGTGGTTTGCTGCCAACAGCTTTCTTTTAAATAAGGACAAAACCTTGGACCTAATTTTTAGTCTTAGGGAACTTCCAGATACTATGGTGTCTAACAGTCATGTAAAATTTCTTGGTGTAACATTGGATCAAAATTTGTCTTGGGAGCCTCATAAAAACGCTTTAGAAAATTAAGATACGTAATACCGATAGATTCTAATCTGACAATTTCATAACTACGACTGACTTGCTTCTTTGCTAACCAAGTCAGTTCCGGTGGTGTATTTCCTGCTTCTACTGTGGCCACATCTAAATATCTGACTCAGATTAACCACATGCCAAAAATCTGAATCTGAATCGGAGTGCACTCTGGACGTATCGTAAGTAATGAAAGGTTGGCTAGATAGTAACCGTGCCAAGGTCATTCATTCCCTTACAAACAACTGATAGTTTCACTGTTACCGATTCCTGTTCAAAAAAAAAAAAAAAACAGACAAACTGTAAGCTAATTATTAAAATATGCATATTTTACACTTTTAGTAAAAGACATAACTTTCGATAAGTAGCTTACATGTAATTTGTTGTTAAATACTGTAATACTGTTAATTTTAATTCTTGAGATTTTTTTACTTACAACTAATGTTTTCAGCGTACAATGTCTCAAACTCCTTTTCAATCTGGGAAAACAAGTCATGTAGCCTGCCCCTGCAAGAAAAAAAACGATGTCAAAATTTTTTTTAATGTACAATCAGTTAAGTCAGATCTATAGATAACTTGGACCGGTTTCCAATACAGTAGACTGCCTCTTATCCGGACACCTTTTAACCGGACTAGATCGGCAGGAAGTGGGCAATACTGAAACGACTGATCTCGAGGGAAAGATTTTAGACCAGTGATCACGTGTCTAAATACAATGCTCTACTAAATTTAAGTCGAATATCACACAAAACAGTCCGTTTTAACGAGATTTTTGGGACGTCGGTTTAACCGGAAAACCCGTTATCCGGACTGGCCTCGGTCCCGAGGAGTCCGGATAAGAGGAAGTCTACTGTAATTCCGCCGTTTTTTCACAACCAAGTTTATTTTTCGTGACTAGGTCTGATGCCTGACTGTAGCCACCAGATGAATCATTTCCATTTTTTTTTTTTATGAAATATTTAAAAAAAAGTTTTTTTCCTCTGATAAGAGGAATTCGGGAAATTATTATAAATAAGCAAATAACTTCTTGATCAGGGGAATGTTGCTGAAAGTCAACAGTCCCGGAAGATCAAATAATTTATACCTGTGCCGCTAGGTCAAAAACTACAATGTTTGCAGTGTCTGTAGATCAAAAGTTCCAGTAAGTCAAATAGTACAGTCCGAGCTAAAAACGTGGTCTATGTTAAAGCAATTGACTTATTGGGAATTTGACCTAATGCAACAGCAGTTTTAATATAACGAAATAAGGTAAAATACAAGTTCAGTTTCGCTGAGTCAACAGTGCCGGAAGATCAAAAGCAATAAAAGTGAACGTCGATTCAGTGTAAAGTAGACCTCCTGCAACGCTTACTACACCAACAAAACTCACTTTTAGTTACTTCGTGTTTTGTCATAATTAGAATAGAGCTAAAATTATCATATTTGGTACATAGCTTATCTATTAATGCTTCTTGCCAACTGTTTGGTCAACACTGTAAATAGGTATAGTTTATGTAATGAAAAGCCTTTCGTCAAAATTTGTGGCATAAAATACACGCAAGGACGATCTGAAAATTTCTGGTTATTATATACGTTTGTAAAAGGAGATCCATTTAATTGTAGAACTATTTTACGAGTTATAATGTAGTCTACATATAAACTGTGTAAATGTATTACGCCTCGGAAGGGTTGAAACCTGTCCAAACTATCATATATATTATTAAAACGTAAATGGGATTTTTTTCACGATTCTGAATCAACCAGACGATGGATTTTCATTAGTTTTGTGTTGGAAGAAAGATAATTTTGAGAACTAGGGAATGTCAAAGCCATAATTATAATTAAGGGTCCCAGTTTTTTAGAAATTAAGTTTTATTTTTAAAAAGTCTAGCAGCCGACGCTAACCTTCTAAGCCAGCTTTTAGTACAATATAATTTGTTTAACATAACAGCTGTAAACATTCAGCATCTGTGACACAAATTCAGCATTTGGAAACAAATTTAAAGATATATTTAGAGTTGACTTATTTATACAATGTGTAATGCTGACCATTGATACATTCAATTCTTAGGTATGAGGATGGCAGATTAACTAGTAGTACGCTTATTCTGCGCGTAACGGGATGAGTGAACATGAGCGCAGTAATGAAAGAGTCCACCCACACCTAGCCTACTTACCGGTGTCACTGGTGAACACAATGTTATTTGTATGGGCAAATCAACCAAATCTTAGTCAACAACAATCCTAACTTCTCATCCATTAATTAACCAAAGTCATTGGTAATATACGTAATGGATTTCCAACAGTTATCGATAGGAAGTAAATCAATCGTTCCTGTACAACATGGGATTTGATTAAATGAAGCCTATTTCCATATTTGTTATGAGGCCTATCATAAACAAAACTAAGCCAAACTGAACTAATCTAACTTAACCTAATTGCCAAAGGACGATGTAAGGAATCTCCAAAAAAATATCGTATGGCTTACAATGATGATTTAAAACAACGATATCGTAATTATATCATCTAAAAATAATTAAAAATCCAATATATGTTTATCTAACTAATGAAGGGTCCCCACACTCCGGACCGCTTGCATTGACTACTTCCATCACCACTTCCTACGTCGTGGAAATGTTTCCCTCCCTTCCTATGGCATTTTAGTATTGCAGGTACAAAAATCTAACTGTCACAAAGGGTCCCCACACTCCGGACTGCTCGCCTTGACTACTTCCATCACCACTTCCTACGTCGTGGACATGTTTACCTCCCTTCCAATGGCATTTTAGTATTGCAGGTACATTAACCTAACTGTCCCAAAGGGTCCCCACACTCCGGACTGCTCGCCTTGACTACTTCCATCACCACTTCCTACGTCGTGGACATGTTTCCCTCCCTTCCTATGGCATTTTAGTATTGCAGGTACATTAATCTAACTGTCACAAAGGGTCCCCACACTCCGGACTGCTCGCCTTGACTACTTCCTTCACCACTTGCTACGTCGTGGACATGTTTCCCTCCCTTCCTATGGCATTTTAGTATTGCAGGTACATTAACCTAACTGTCACAAAGGGTCCCCACACTCCGGAATGCTCGCCTTGACTACTTCCATCACCACTTCCTACGTCGTGGACATGTTTCCCTCCCTTCCTAAGGCATTTTAGTATTGCAGGTACATTAACCTTACTGTCACAAAGGGTCCCCACACTCCGAACTGCTCGCCTTGACTACTTCCTTCACCACTTCCTACGTCGTGGACCTGTTTCCCTCCCTTCCTTTAGCATTTTTTTATTGCATATCTATTAATCTAACTGTCACAACGGGTCCCCACACTCCGGACTGCTCGCCTTGACTACTTCCATCACCACTTCCTACGTCGTGGACATGTTTCCCTCCCTTCCTATGGCATTTTAGTATTGCAGGTACATTAACCTAACTGTCACAAAGGGTCCCTACACTCCGGACTGCTCGCCTTGACTACTTCCATCACCACTTCCTACGTCGTGGACATGTTTCCCTCCCTTCCTATGGCATTTTAGTATTGCAGGTACATTAACCTAACTGTCACAAAGGGTCCCTACACTCCGGACTGCTCGCCTCGACTACTTCCTTCACCACTTCCTACGTCGTGGACCTGTTTCTCTCCCTTCCCATTGCGTTTTTAGAATTGTAGATACATTATTATAACTGTCACAAAAGCTTTCCACACTCCGGAGCGCTCGCCTTGACTACTTCCTTCACTACTTCCTACATCGTAGACCTGTTTCCCTCTCTTTTCATAGCATTTAAGTATTACAGATCTAACAAAAAACCACTAAGTGGTAACACTTCCCCCGCCAAGTCAGCAACCCAAAAAAGACAATAAATCACCACTTTTCCGCCAAGTAAAACAATGTAATGTATGTAAGTTTGGCAACTTGGCGGCAGACTTTTGCTTGTTTTTTTTTCATTAAAGTTACGTTGGTGGATAATTTCACAAATCAACTTCTCTAATTAATTAGTCCAACTAAGTATAATAATTTCGAGGTAATCAGTAGATATAAAACCATCACTATTATGATTTTATGAAATGTGACACAAATAAGGTCAAATTTTGTAAAATAAGCTCTCATCTAGCAATGTACTATTGGGAGAGATACTTGCTCAATGGAACTAATTTTATGGTATTTTTTAAAGTGATCAAGCAAAAGTCTGCCGCCAAGTGGCCAAACTTACATACATTACATTGTTTTACTTGGCGGAAAAGTGGTGATTTATTGTCTTTTTTGGGTTGCTGACTTGGCGGGGGAAGTGTTACCACTTAGTGGTTTTTTGTTAGATTGTATTTATTTTTGTAGAAAATTAACAGTTAAAATAAAAATCCTCTTTTCTCTTATATATAGACCAGGGCACAACTACACATAAAATGCATTGGTGTTACATAAGTGTTCCGATAATTAAACCCGTATATCTAAAGACTAGTGTAAATTGAGCCCTTATTAGAGAAGTAAAAATGTAATCAAACAGATTAGGTTTGTTAGAAATAGCATAAGGCAAAACAAATATTGAAAAACTCATTTTTATCCTAAATTTACATATCACTTTTTACATTCACTTTTTTGCTTGTTTAACATACGTAGACGGATTTTCCCAATTGTTTTATTTGTTTTAGTGTATCAAAACATAAAACTAACCTTATTTAGTTAAATAAATTTTGGCAATATTATGAAGAAACAATGTTAAAACTAACCTTAGTACTAGTACTAAGTTTCAAGTTCCTAGGTTTCATATGTTTTGATAAGTAGTATTAAACTGTTAAAAATGACGAGCTGCTGTACCAGTGTACCATCGGTACACAGCATTTTTCAATGGAAAGTATCGGGGAATATCACTGCTCTAAGTAATTTTATATAGTAAGTAGCTCAAATCATTCGGTATACCTGAAAAAATACTTTATAAAAGTTTTAAAATAATTTTTCAGCTGATCCTATGAATTTCTCTAACATTTTAAATTAATTGAGATTTAATCGCAGCTGATCCTTCTTTTGTTTTGATTTTAATCCAATGTTATTTAAATGGGCCAAAATCGTACTTTGAGGGCTTGCCAAGGGTTTATGGGTCAACGCACCGACTTGTGACCCTCAAAAGGCACATCTACACGCTAAGGGCTTTCAAACAACATAAAAAACATTAAAATTGAGCCAGTGGTTTGGGCTGTAGGTCCGTCAACATTTAAGGAGAAGAAGGAGAACACGGAAAATTTGTGAATTTTCAAACTAGTTTTTCTTGGCTCAAACACAACCTTTTTTTAAATTCTTTTTTTTATTTTGCCAAGAATGATTGCCCCTATCCAGTGGATGAACAATTATTTTAATAGCTTTTGTTTCTTCAGAGCTATAAACGAGTAAAAAAGCCACTTTGTCACGTCATGTATATATACACTGCAGCAGCTGTGTACCGCTGGGGGACTTGGCGGGGCGGAACGCTGCCGCGTTCCTTAATATACTGTATTAATTTAATAGTCACAAAGGATTTCCACACTCCGCACT